CACAATTTATTCATGTGATATTTATGATGTTTTGATTGATTTAACAGAATAATTGACTTTATGTAAAATATTACAAACGGCAGTGTACTAGACGCTTTAGACAGCTTGACTTACACTGGATTCCCAGTGGTATTCTTAAAAAACACATCAAAAACCTTGATCGAGGCACTGTAACAAACTATCATTTCCCTTGAGTAAACATGAAAAAATCAAAAGCCGTATAAGAAAAACATTTAATTAGAAGAAATAAGCTTAGACAATGACACAAATAATCTAATTTGATTTTCTTATCTTCTGTTAAACCCATTACAGCAAAACTGATGTCATGTTTTTATTACAGATGTCCGCAGGATTGAGACTGTAGCTATTAAGTACATTTTTAAATATTTACTTGTGTCTTTCCAAATTGATTCTGCGTACAATTTATGTTCAATTGTGTCTGAAAACAGATTTCGTTTACGACAAATCAGTTGTTATTAATCTGATTAAAATACAGATCCTGTGTCTAAGCTTTGTTATTCTGGTAATTATTACATCAGAAAACCAAATTTCAGCCTTTAATTTTTTGAAGGTGTATATTTATTAGACAAAACCAGAGGATCCCAAAAGGTCTTTAAAACCGAAAAAGTAGAATGGATCGTGTTCAGATTCTTGTAAGCTAAGCTTTGACACAAGATCTGCATTTAAATCAGATTGGTTATTAAAAAACTCATCATAGATACCAGGATTAAAAAATTTTGACGCGCGCTTTTCGTCTACAAAAGACTCATCAGTGACGCTAGAATAAGAAAATGTTAAAGAAGCCAAATAAAGTACGAAGTTGAAAAGCATTGAGGACCCAAAATTCCGAAAGGTTTTACCAAATACAACTAAGGTAATTTATCCCTGGGTCTGGGATAGAACATCTTTAGTATTTCGAAAAATTCCAAGTTTTATAAAAAGTTAATTTCATAATTATGAGTTCATATCAATTATGATTCATATCAACCTTTTAGAGGCATTCAAAACATTTTCACGTGAATGGAATGAAATGACGTTTGCATGGCATACGATACAGTTACAGGGAAGGTAATGACGTTACTAACGTAAAATGTTATTTTTCGCGACGTCAAACTGTGACATATCGGGAAAAGCTGCATTTTTCGACTGATTTTTTTTATCATTCTGACTGTTTTAACTTGAAAACGAGTTCATGGACCTCTCTTTTTTAAAATGACATTAGATTTGATCACGTATGAACATTATTTGTACCATTTTATGAAAAAGTCACCGACGAAATTTTTTAAAATTGGATAAATATACAGCAAGAAAATGCCGTTTTTTTCTAAAATCATGACACTTTAATAAAAATTAATTATTTCCAAAGAATTGTTACACAAATTTAGAGCATACTTGTGTAAAGAATATTCTCCAACTGTTTTTACAAAAATCAGCTTGTGTTTTTCTTTTGAAACAAAAAAGTTAGGTATGTCTATCCAAAGGATAGAAATGTAAAAAAAAAAAACGAAATTTTGAGTAAATGTCTAATATTTCGACCCCCATTTATCTCTTAAAGTAGCACATGAAGGTATATTTTTTATTACATATTTGAATTGACTAGGTGAAAAATAGCTTGTATGCAAATTTTCGTAAACAAATCACCGTCGGATCAAAACTGTATCGTATGCCCTTAACAACGTCAGAAAAAAAAGAATTTTGTATTATGTAGGCAAAACGCACGTTCGATGTACTAAAGTATAACTAGTTTTTAATACCACTGGGCTTATGCAGCTGACGGTAGACAGTTCTTCTTTTTTCGCAAATTGGAGGTTTATAATGATTTTATACCTATTTAGAAAGCTTTTCAAGTCGTTTTTGAACGTCATAACCTTTGGACTTGGGCATAGTTGATGCAAAATGATTTTTTGGCACGACAAACGCGTTTCGTCTTCATTTTTAATATATCATGAACAGGTTGAATGCCTAATCAAGTACAAAGATCATTAGAAACAGAAAATTAAGAAATTAATAAACACGTGATGTTTGGAATCATATGAGCTATGTTATATGATGTTAAGGAGCGGGTACTAAGCCGGGAACAGAAACTGCTTTCCTGTCTTTGTCACCAGATTTCATTTTTGAATCGAGAAAACAATGTACGAACGAGTCAATGGACGAACGATTAGTTATAAATTTTATTATTTTAATTTACCTTAAAGTCCATGAAAGTATGTAATCCATGAACGATAAATCTTAATGTTTATAAGGATTTGTGGAAAGATCAGTCATTATTCAGACTTGAGCGTTTGACCTTGAATTTCTTTTGAAAAAAAACAGCCATGAATTTTAAAATTCTACAACGAGAGCCTTTATTAAGAACATCAGTAAAGACTATAAAGCAATCTCAACTTTTCTCATATTTACTAACTCGTTTTTTTCTTTTTCTAGATATTGCATTTAATATTTTTGCCTAGCAACCGCTTTTTTTCTACATTTTTCTTCTAAAATAATGACACTTTTGTATATGATAATGATGTTATTAGCAAGAATATTGGATAAAAAGGAAATTACACAAAGTAGGTTCAGCATTTAAAACCCCAGATGTTCGGCTGTATGCCTGATATCACGTGCAAATCATTATTATGGAGCGTCATTGCCTAGTATTTTCGTGATCTATACAAATAATAGGTAGTCTTATGAAAGGGAAAATGTATAAACTGCCGATAAATAAAAAAAAAAAAAAAAAACCAACCTGCATTTCAGAGACATATTTGACACAAACAAATACCCCTATGTTGCTTACCGTCAATTATGTTGCACCTGCAGACAAGGCCCCACATAATATCTTTTTCTGTGTGTAAATCATATTACATTTACTTCTAGATAAGAGAGTTCGGAATTCTTTTGGGAACGAACTTATAATTATACTCCCTCTAAATGAGAATTTTAAACAATCATAGGTCTGTTTTATGGAATTTTGGGCTCTAACTGCTCATCAGCTTCGTAATTGATTTGGCCTTTCACCTTTGTTTTATTCGAGCGTCACTGATTTATCTTTTGTAGACGAAACTCGCGTCTGGCGTACATTAGTATTGTATGTTCCTTTGGAACTCAAAGCAAACACTTTATATTGTTTAGTCTGTATTATCCTTTACCCTTTCTTTACGAAAAATTAACAACATCTATTTTATCAGAAATCAAAACCGGGATTCAGGGTAACTATGAAACACACTGAAGGGGAGGTGTGAATCAGATGTGGATTCTATAAAAAAATATGTTAGAATACCTACAATCTTCTCGTGCGATTGAATATAAACCTATTAACTTCTTTATCGTTAACACATGCATTCCTCATTCTAAGCTTAGGATAGTTTAAAAAATAGTTCAAATTTGTTTCATAATAAACAAATGACCAATGTACACATTTCTTGTATTAGGAATGAACAAATGATACTTTAAGTAACCAACTCTCATTCAAACACGGAGTTCACTGAAACCGATTTCATCAAGATGCTAGATTGTTTTCATTGACAACATATTTGTTAAGAATGATTGATGTGTTTTTTTTTAACTCACAGTCGGCATTGGCCAATTAACTCACACACTGATCAAATGTCAAAGAGGACTTTTATGTTAAGTTTGTGAGACAGCGGTAACGTTCATACATTAAAACACTCAGAAAATGTGTGTAATCCCTATAATTCTCAACCAATTCATTTACTACTTTAACTTCAACTTGCTTTGAACCTCAGGGTTCCATTTATATTTATCGTGCATGGATATATCATAGTGAAATCGAAAAAGTGTTCACATAGGCCACGAAAATAGTTTCGAAAACTCGGTATATCGAAGTGTTAACCAATTAGATTTAAGAACTTAACTTTGCGACAACAGATATGATTTATTTTTTCCAATTGTGATCGTATGTAGCAACATTCGAGTAGTACCTTTATTGTGTTATTGTTATCTTTGTATTCTTGTCTTTCATTTTTGCTTATGTACTTTGTCTATAGAGTGTCTATATGCAATTTTGTTTTTCTTTGTTGAAAGAGTTATTTGTTTTTATAGTGATTAAGATGATAACACAATGTTGACTGCTGTACCCCCATTTTTGACATTTTTACCTATAATGTCTGCTTGTTTTCCTCACTCATTGTTGTCAATATTATGGAATTCTATGCGACTGCCATACAAGTGAGAGGTTTGGCTAGCTATAAAACGAGGTTTAATCCACCATTTTCTACATAAGGAAATGCCTGTAACAAGTCAGTAATATGACAGTTGTTTCCATTAGTTTGATGTGTTTGAGCTTGTGATTTTGCCATTTTATAAAGGACTTTCCGTTTTGAATTTTCCTTGGAGTTTGGTATTTTTGTTATTTTACTTTTTACCTACACACGTAATTTAAATCTCAGAGTTGATACGATATTCCAGGGCTGATATTTCGGTTATGCTTTTTAATGACGGTAGGTAGGTAGTAGCGTACACGGAAGATACTGAACAAACGTAATGATAAAACTTAAGTTATCTTTCAATTAATAATGAAATGACCATTATGGAATATATGAGTCACAGATAACCATAAGTATGTTTCACTTGTCTCGTCCTATAATACTCTAGTTATGATATCACCAAATGGGACTTTCTCCTCCTCCTCCTCCTCCTCCTCCTCCTCCTCCTCCTCCTCCTCCTCCTCATCATCATCATCATCATCATCATCATCATCATCATCATCATCATCATCATCATCATCATCATCATCATCATCATCATCATCATCATCATCATCATCATCAGTAATGTATTTACAAAGCGTCAGTGTTATAAACAACTAGTAAGTTCACAATAAAAAGATCACCAAACCAAAGCAGCATTATCATTATTGATAATCGGTAAGCTTATTTGTTTCAATCAACGCGTTTACAGTCCCACGCACTCTTTAATTTATTAAAAGTAACTGTTGTTTATGACTAGCTTTTTTAACTATGGAAAAACTAACTTGCAGGTGTCTGTCATTTCAGGTCAAAACGAGAAGCAAGTAAACTTTGGTGTAAAGAGCGAACTGTATTAGAGAGGATATTATTTTGTGTAGTATTACTGTGTATAGGAATTATTGGTATATTATTAGTTTTACATGCCATTACATTACAGGAAAGACGGGGTAAGCTCTTTTTTCATTAGCTAGATTATTTGTTTTTAATTGTTTTTTAAAACAAGTTTCAGGACATCTAACTGGCTATGCAAATCAAAGCAAGTTAACTTCTTTATAACCTTGATTCTCCTGCCCACTGTTGTAGCGATGTTATATCGGCTGTTGTTGATTAAGAAATGTTCTTCCCGCTGTTCTTGATTCAGAGATGTTATACCCACTGTTCTTAATAAATAACATTCTACCCGTTGGTATTGATTAAGAAAAAGTTTACCTGCTGATGTTGATAAAAGAGGGGCGAACGAAAGCAAAGGGATTGTCAAACTTCGAAGTCGAATACAAATTGGCAATGCCATAGCAAAAAACTTTAAAAAGACAAAAAGACAAACAACAGTCTACAAAACACAACATAGAAAACTAAAGACTTTTTACCGTTCTAGAGTTATGCCTTTTTACAAATGGAAAAAATGCTGAATGTTTCGTTTCCGTTCTCTTACTTTAGTTTGCCTCAACCAAATGGTATGAAACTTATACACAATGCTAATTACAACAAAACACAGATCAAGTTTGAATTTTAGTGGCGTCACTTTTACCGTTCTAGAGTTATACCCCTTTACAAATGGAAAAATTGCTGAATTTTTCGTTTCCGTTCTCTAACTTTAGTTTGCCTCAACCAAATGTTATGAAACTTATACACAATGCTTATTACCACAAAACACAGGGCAAGTTTGAATTTTAGTGGCGTCACTTTTACCGTTCTAGAGTTATGCCCCTTTACAAATGGAAAAATTCCTGAATTTTTCGTTTCCGTTCTCTCACTTTAATTTGCTTCAACTAAAAGTTATGAAACTTATACACAATACTTATTACCTCAAAACACAGATCAAGTTTTAATTTTGGTGGCTTCACTTTTACCGTTCTAGAGTTATGCCCCTTTACAAATGGAAAAATTCCTGAAATATTCGTTTCCATTCTCTAACTTTAGTTTGCCTCAACCAAATGTTATGAAACTTATTCACAATGCTTATTACCACAAAACTCAGATAAAGTACAAATTTGGCTAGCGTCACTTTTACAGTTCTTGAGTTATATCCCTTTATAACGTAATATGCAAGCGGGGGCATCATCTGTGTCCCAAGGACACATTCCCCATTTATTTAGAGATGATTTTGAAAATTTCATTGTTTGTCGTTCCCGAATAAGTTGGGATATGTATATCCCATATGCAGGTGAAGTTGGAATATTTCTGGTAAGGTGGGGAAATTTATAATGTCAAAATTAAAATCGTCTTGTTTGTCAAAGTACCAAGTTGAAGAGCATTAACCCAAAATTCCGAAAGGTTTTGCCAAATAAAGATTTAGAGATGTTCTGTTAAGTGATGTTTTGCCTTCTTTCCTTGAATAAGAGATGTTCTATCCGCCGTTGTTGATTTAGAGATGTTTTCCCACCGTTGTTGTTTTAGATATGTGTTAGGCATCGTTGTTTATTCAGAGATGTTTTACCCATCGTTGTTGATTTAGAGATGTTCTACTCATCGTTGTTGATTCAGAGATGTTTTACCCATCGTTGTTGATTTAGAGATGTTTTACCCTTCGTTGTTGATTCAGAGATGTTTTACCCATCGTTGTTGATTCAGAGATGTTTTATATATATATATATAGAGATGTTTTACTCGCTGTGTTGGTTCAGCGATATAGGATAATATACCCGCTGTTGTTCATTTAGATATGTTTTATTCTGCTTTGTTGATAAAGAGATATTTTACCTGCTGTGCTTTATTCATTTAAAAATGCTCAACCTGATGTTGTAGCAAGATTAAGTGTTCAGTGGCTTCATAAAACTTTTGTTAAAACATGACATATAATGAAACTATCTCAACACTTGTAGTTTTGATCTGTTGATTAATATCAACGTGTTCTACACGCTGTTGTTGATTTAAAGACGTTTTAACTGCTATTTTTGACTTAGCAATATTGAGATGTTCTACTCGCTGTGTTGATTCAGCGATATAGAGATGTTCTACCCGCTTTGTTAGATTTAGCGATCTACAGATGTTCTACCCGCTGTTGTTCATTTAGATATGTTCTATTCTGCTTTGTTGATAAAGAGATATTTTACCTGCTGTTTTTTATTCATTTAAAAATGTTCAACCTGATGTTGTAGCAAAATGAAGTTTTTAGTTACTTCATAAAACTTTTGTCAAAACATGACAGATACTGAAACTATCTCAGAACTTGTAGTTTTGTGTTGGTGATATTTATTTGAACAATAAACTTTATCGGTCCATTTCTTTGCAAATTATCATATTTGACCAGTTACGTTTTACTATCTTGTATAAATGTTACTTTTAAATGAACATCATTGAACAGCGGTAAACTACTGTTGCCTTTATTCATGCCAAATTATTACAAAGTTTGTTATTGATTTTAATGACACGTTAATGTTAAAATTGTTTCAGAACATTTGTATGTTCCTTAAAAAGTACTTTGTGAGACTATAATTTTGTTTTTTTTTATCCTGAGAAATGGGTTTTTTATGTTTGGAATTTGTATGTATACAACTGAAATCTGTGTTTTTTGTTTTTTGTTTTTGAATTTGTCTTTCCTTTGCAGTTGACCAAAATCAGTTTTATATGAACTTATCTAGTCAGGACAAAAGTGAAAAAGGTAAGTGAGAATAATTGTAAGTTCGTAATGAAATTTCTATATAAAAACAAGCCTTTAAAATATAATTTATTTTCGGTAGTCCTGCATTTTCTATAATCTATGTTATGTATTGTCCGCAAAATATGATATATGGCTTTATTAAAAACTTCAAGATAGTTTATCATTTTGAAGCATATGCCATGATTGAGGAAGACGAAACCAACATAAACCGGGCGAGTTCTTGAAGGATAAGCAGCTCTTGACTCTGCTAGCGGGATCGCCGTTTTTTCCATGAAAAGTAAAAGGTCATTGATAAGTCGGGGCTAGTCATAAACCAAAAATCGTGCATATTTCAAGTTACATTGTGAACTAACATTTTTCAAATGAATAAAATTTGCGATTTTTAAAAAAGCATTATCAATTGCACGAACAATGCTAAGATATAGTGTTGATTAGTTTGCTAAGTAGGCGGATCTAGTAATTCTTCAAGTTTAACCTTTCCATAAAGGTACGGAGTTCTTCGAAATTTCATAAATCATTGTCAGTTTCTGTGTGATTTTAGATAAACCGATAGCTTTTTTAGGGGGTTTCAGAAGTATTTATAATAAAATTGAGAATGGAAATGGGGAATGTGTCAAAGAGACAACAACCCGACCAAATAGCATAAAGCAGCCAAGTATGTTTCTGATTATATTTTCATTGTTAATAGTAATTTACTCAACAACGCACCTCGTATATTGATTTCTTTAGAGTAAAATTGCTATTGCACATATTAAAAGTGATTGACATGAGTCAAAATTGTGTCAAAAAGTTTCTGAAACATAAACACCAAATGTTTTAAAATATTTTTTGTTTTAATTTTCGACATCTTACAAAACACTTTTTTAACCAAATAATTAAAAAAAAATGTCAAATTTGTGAAAACTAAAGTCGTGTTTATGTCTGACCTAAAATAACATTAACGGAACAAATATTACTGCACCAGATGCGCATTTCGATAATTGTGCTCAAGGCCAAAATATTTGAATATCCAGAACTCATTTAAAATTAAAGAGCTGATAAAACCAAAAAGGACAAAAAGTATTTGGCAAGTAATCAGAGCTTTGCATGAGGGAGATAAATTCCTTAATTCAAAATAATTTTATTGAATTTGTAATTGTAAATTTTCATAACACAGTAGCCGTATTTTCATGCCAGTACCGAGTACCGGCTACTGGGCTGGTAATACCCTCGAAGACTAACAGTCCACTGACAGAGCTATCGACCCAGTGGTAGGAATCACATTAACGGTACCTATTTTACTACTGAAAAAGACTGATCGACAGTTTCTTGAGCGGATTCTTTTTCTTTTGACCAATATGAAATTGACTTATCTAAGATATTTGATTTTTGACATGTATGGTTAAAATCTTCATTGTCGTCGATAACATGAAAAATTCTCTGTAAAAGTGATCAGGAAATAGGCTCCGTTCTGAGGATCACGAATGAGGGATTGTGATTGGAAAATGCTACATTGAATAGATAAACTAACAATTTTTTCATTAGACGAAACAGGTTATATTCGGATCTCACTGATTAAACTGACACCCGATACCATTAATTCTGACTGAATATTTTCAATTCTCTCATACAGTTAATTATTTTTGGCAGGTACAAGTAAATTAGACCTTATCATCCCCTTAAGTACACAGCGAGAGTGACCCATAAATTGATGCTTCAAATTTACCATGATGGTTTACGTACAATGTTGACGTTATATAAAAAGTAAAATCACAAAAATACTGAACTCCGAGGAAAATTCAATCGGAAAGTCCCTAATCACTTGGCAAAATCAAATGACAAAAACACATCAAACGAATGGACAACAACTGTCATATTCCTGACTTGGTACAGGCATTTTCAAATGTAGAAAATGGTGGATTGAACCTGGTTTTATAGCGCTAAACCTTTCACTTGTACGACAGTCGCATCAAATTCCGTTATATTTACAACGATGCGTATATATTTGTGTTGTTTTGTTGTACTGTTTAAGTGACGTTTTAGAAGACCCTACTTTCTAAATTGTATAATGATATAGTTTAACAAATAACTTTAATAAAAAATGTCCCATTCAGTTTGACAACCTTCCGCTCTTACATTCATCATTTTTTCTCACATAATACACACTCTAACCTAATGAAGTGCAAGACTGAACAAGCGAGAGAGAGAAATGAATGAGTGATAGAGCGTGTCAGGGCTATGAATGTCACAGTCCTTTGGGGAAAACACCACTGTCTATCATTCCTGGAGAGAGACTAGTACCTTCAGTTTTCCTTCAATAGGTTAGAGTGCATTGTAATGTTAAAAAGAAAATAGACATTTCAAAATTACATTACATAATTTACAGTATTTCAACATTTATTTTTTTATTTAGCAATACTATTTGTAATGTAGAATCAACTCTTTTTATATTCATTTGTATTTCACTTGTCTAATACTCTATTACTTTTCTATTTCAGTTAGCCATTAAATTACTTCTATTTCATTGTAATTTTACAAAATAATAAATGTATGGCTCTTGGCACATTATCAGTAGAATATATAAATTAACATTGAAATTTATATAGTAAAACTGTTTCTACTGGACTCAATTTTTTAAAGGAGACAATTCCAAGAAAAAAACAAATCTTTTTAAATCTTCTCCTAGATCTGTTGCAAATCGTGAACTTACATAAGAAGGAGACCAAATGGGAATGAATTAATTTTCTATCTTTCTTTTCATTTAAACCCAAAATAAAATAACTAAAAATATTGAATACACATAAAGAAAAGTTCCATCATCTAACTCGTCCAATAAAAATCAAACAACAGAAATACTACAATTGACGTTAAGCAACAAACAACAATAAAGAACATTTCTGTCTGTTTTATATTTTACAGTTAAAGGGTTTATTCGGAATTGTCTTTCCATTATGTTTGTTGTTATACAGTTTTCAATTGTTTGGTCTAGTGTGTCGTCATCCTTTGTTTAGAGTAATGCTATAATACACCTGCGACATCGTATTGTCATCTGATGAATTACCTAGTGAATTATATAACACACCTGCGACATCGTATTGTCATCTGATGAATTACCTAGTGAACAGTGTTTTACTACCTTGAGCAGCTGTACGATGTCAATGCAAAGCAGAATTCTCTCATCCTTTTGGAGAACGTAATTTTTTTTCTGTAGCTTTTTTAGGGTGCATGTTTGCTACTTTTCATCCCGCAAAATTCAAAAAGAGCACGGAGATATTATAATGGGTATGATTGGCCATAATCGATAATTCCTTGTTCATTTTATTGCATTAATAGTGGTGTTACAAATATTATCTTCAACTTCACCAAAGCTTTGAAAAATTCTTCCCGTCAACAACTTTAATAGTCGCACCCTTTTTTACACGCGCTCGACAAACAATGCCTTGAATTTATGTAGGCTATAACGTTAATTGTTTAATTGCTTTGAATTGACAGTCCTGTTTAGCTTTATAAATTATAAATGCAGGGTTGTTTATGAAAATGCTTATCAACCTCAAAGAAGTAATTGTGTGTGCTTATGCATGGAGAAAGCGATATACTGCGAGAATAGTATTAAAAGAGAGGCAAAATATACCAAAGGGACATTCTAACTCAAAAGTAGAAAACAAACTGACAATGGCCATGGCAAAAACGAAAAACGAACAAAAGACAAAAAAGGTTCCCAAGTACAATAAGGAAAACTAACGACTGAGCATCACAAACGCCGCTAAAAACCGGGGTGATCTTACATGTATATGCTCCGGGAGGGTAAGCAGATCCTGCTCCACATGTGGTACCCCTCCTGTTGCTAATGAAAGTTTTAACCCGGTGAAACTTAGAATTCGGTATATCACATTTTAGGAAAAGAGGACGAGACTGTGGTTATGACAACATATCCGTCGTGTTCTGTGAAACAGTAACCAACTCGTGATTGCGTCCATGAAATTTTAAAAAGAACGACTTCAACTACATCAACTGGAACTCTTGGTTTAGTAACTTTCTTGTTAGAAGCAATCCTCTATTTAGTATACGAAATGCAAGCTCTGGAATATCGTACATCTAGGAGATATATACTCCATATGCAGGCGCTTCTGAAATATTGCTACATAGGAATGTAAATTTCACAAATGGGAAGCTGAAATCATCTGTTTTCTGTCGTTTTTTTCTCAACCCTTATTATCAATTTCTACATGCTAGTCAAAATGTGAGGCAGATTTAACTGTATCGGTTGTATCCTTAATTTCAAGTTCGATAGGATAGATGCGTTGAATATTGTCACCAAACTTTGAATTATTTCATCTATATAGCGGAATATGAAGTGAAGGGTTATTCTAGCTTCTTTTTATTCTTTATAAGAAGCCCCTGTATGTTGAAAGCCTCATATGAATAAAGGAACAAGTCGGCAAGACAAATGAACACAGTTGGTTACAATGTTAATTCCGATTGTTTGTTGAAAACGTGTTCTCCAAACATAACAAATATGTCGTCAATCAAGATATCAAGCATCATTTTTCTGTTTGAAGCAGAATGATTGTTTTTACAAAGTACGATTTATTCCCCTCTAAGACAATTACTTGTATCTACGTTAGCAATAATTTTTTTTGCAACAAAGCGTGATAAATTCTTTCAAATTAGTGTTTAGTTTTGAGAGAATACATGTGTAAATGGTAGAAAAGTCAAATTTGTTTAATACTATTGCAAGAGGAAAGAGACTAAGATTGTATATAATCTAACAGATCTTTTGAATATTTTAGTATGCACATCTGATTCCCGTCGCCCCTAGAGTATGTATGTTCACAATTACATAAATAGCCGACTTTGATTACTGCTGAAATTGATGTTAATAATTCAGAAAGAGTAACATGGAGAACTAGGGATACCCAACGTTAAACGTTGTTTATAATGACATGTATGTCATTTAGGTATCAAATACAGTTCATCATCTTTGGTTGAAATTCGAAATAAATATAGAACAGACTTACGATTATTCAGGATTTCTCTCCATGGTATTTGTCGTAAAGGTATATGTTGAGATTTATTTTCCAAATGAATTGGTAATACCTAATTCCTTTATCAAACAGTTTATGTCATGTAATTTGTACGCAAAAACGATGTTTTTGGGGTCTTATCTGAGGGCATAACAACATATTTGTCATGGAAGTAGAGCAAGTGCTTTGCAACATTTATTCTATAAAGATCGATGTAGCATGTGTATTCATAGACCCGTTCAACTTTTTACAGTCGTTCTATAGTTAGTGTGACAAGTCTTGCTAGTAGTCGCATAGAAAGACTACAAACTTAACCACTGGACTGATAATTGACTATAATTTACTTTTGTTAGTCAATCTATCCTTTACAGGTTCTTTTAGTAACGCTTCGTGTACCACAAGATTACCTTGTTTGGTTTAATTGCTCAATCAACACCTGATTGTAGTATAGAAATAAGACTAACAAGATAAGATACATCTGATAACCGTATAATGAAATGACAAACAAAATATAGACTTGATAACCGTATAGTAATATCACAAACAATAAACTTGATAACCGTATAGTAAAACCACAAACAATAAACCTGGAAGAAAATAATTCATATGTCTCGAATTCAGCCATACACACAGGAAAATTCACAGCATCTGAAAAAAAATAATAAAAGCTTACTTATTTTCTAATATTTTTTATTTACAAATAGCCACACCCACGAAACATTGACAGTGTTTTTGAAGGAGTTATAGTATTTAGACCATCGCATATAGCTATTTCTGTTAAATCTGATGCAAACCTGGTGTGGCGACGTAAAAAATCCTTCATTACTTTAAAACAGTTTTCGCACGGGTTCAGGTCTGGATGGTATGGTGGTTGAAACAAAAGTTCGACATTATGCTGGTTACCAAAAGTTCTCATATGACCTCAACAAACCGGCCATGGTGAAAACCACAATTGTCCATGATAACGGTGTACACATTTACTGTTATTGTACAGTATCGGTTGAAATCAATTAAAACAACAAAGTAAATAAGTATGGAAGAAAATACAAACCAGGAATTCCCACTATTATCGAGTTAAACGAAAAAGTGATGAAACTTAACAAAATATGTAAGTTCTCTTATTTACAAACAGGACAATATTGTAGAAAAAGTTATTCAGAAGTTCCGAATTGACAGGACATTGTTGCCTGTGAAAATCCATTCTGAACCTGAGAGAATAAAGAGTTCCAACGAGATAGTACAAGCGGTACATTATTACAAATCAAGGAAGCCGTCTATTTTTGCTTTCCGAAATACATAATTAGCTATTGTTTTTTTTTATGGTATTACAACACGAGAAAACGAACCAAGTGCAAATAAAATATCAAATATTTTGAATCACGACTTTAAAATGTCATTTAAAAAGCCGAAAAGTGTGCTAGAGAGATGGTGTTTAGGTTAAGTTTGATAAATACATTGATAATATAAGTAGGAAAAAAACATATACAATTTAGTTTATTTTGAATCATATGTGGTCAAAACTATTGAAAATAGACTAAGTTTATTTGTTCAGTGTATGTTCACTGGTGTTAATATGTCTTTTGATTGAGTTAAGCCATTTCAATTGATATTTCATAGTGTGTCTTTCTATGTTGTGATGTTACACTATTGTTTCAGATAAGGGTGAAGGTTTGGTACCGTTAAAACGTTAAAACCCGCTGCAAATGTTTGCACCTGTCCTAATTCAGAAATCTGATGTTCAGTATTTGTCGTTTGTTGATGTGGTTCATAAGTGTTTCTCGTTTCTCGTTTTTTATATAGATTAGACCGTTGGTTTACCCGTTTGAATGGTTTTACACTAGTAATTTTTGGGGCCCTTTATAGCTTGCTATTCGGTGTGAACCAAGGCTCCGTGTTGAAGACCGTACTTTGACCTATAATGGTTTACTTTTATAAATTTTGACTTGGATGGAGAGTTGTCTCATTGGCACTCATACCACATCTTGTTATATCTAAGTATATTGACACTAATTTATTGCCACTAGACGTTAAGCAACCAATAATCAATTAATCAATAATCACGATATTTTTGTTTGTTTGTCATTTTTTCTGTACGGCAATCAGGTGTTGATTGAATAATTAAACCAAACAAGGTACATGGAGCGTTACTAAACGAACTTGTAAAGAATAGATAAACTAACAAAAGTAAATTATAGTCAATCAACAGTCCAGTGGTTATGTTTGTAGTCTTTCTATACGAATACTAGCAAGATTTGTCACACTAACTATAGAACGACTGTAAGTTAAAACTCAATTGTTGAAGGCCGTACAGTTGCCTATAATTATTACATCTGGGACTATTATACTAACGTCTCGTTCTAACGACCGTGATGTTGAGTATTATTACACTGATTGGTGGTAACGGTTTCCAGTCCCGTTAGTATAATAGTCCCAGCTTACATCCTCTTCATTTGGAACTCTGGTGAATATTTTTTCAATCTTTTTTTTATATAGATACTGTAAGATGTTCAGGTTTATTGTTTGTCATTTTACTATACGGTTATCAGGTTTTGTCATTTTTCTTGACTGCAATCAGGTGTATTGTTTGTCACTTTTCTTTGCCGCAATCAGGTGTATTATTTGTCATACTGGTGTTGATTGGGCAATTGAACCAAACAAGGTAATCTTGTGGTACATGAAGCGTTACTAAAAGAACTTGTAAAGAATAAATTGACTAACAAAAGTAAATTATTTTCAATTATCAGTCCAGTGGTTAAGTTTGTAGTCTTTCTATACGACTACTAGCAAGACTTGTCACACTTACTATAGAACGACTGTAAATTCTAATTTATATCAAAGATCTTACAACATTAACCCATTTGCAAAGAGTATCTACTACTTCTTCTTTGCGTTTAGCCCATGTCCTGGCATATTTCTCGACTGAATCCTTCAGTATTTCGAAGTTGTGTTTCTGATTGATGGATTTACGCACACGATATTTCTGTCATTTGCAGATGAATAACACATTTTGCAGAGAAGTGTTAGAGACAATGTTCATGTCACCATTAATAACGTAGCCAGCCGGGTTATATCTGAATGGGGAACTAACGCAAGTGTAATCAGGAAGTTTAAACTTTAAGTCGTCAATATTGAGATCCTGCAACATGTGTTTGTAATTGAAAATATTAGTTGCAATTTTCTTTGTATAAGTATCAGAGATGATAGGTACAGACTGATCTTTAAATTAGAGAGGTATTTTCGAGTGGTCTTTCTGAAGCTGTAGTGAAAAATCTAAAGAAGAAGAAGGACGTAGTGGGCATGAACTCCAAAACAGATGTTAATGACAGAAAGAATATCTGTTATCGAATGATTCCCACTCAAAATAAATAAGTATTAGGGAGCAGAAAAAACTACAGTTTGCATATCTCTTAAAGGTAGAGAGAGAGTCATATTGATTGATTTGATCTGGACGACAAATAAGCGACACAAAAAGCGCAAGTCTCCTCATTTAGTAATACAGATTCATCAACCGGGTCTCGAATATCCATACTGTCAGAGCATACGTATAAACTTTCTTCCTCCCTTCCTGCCGTGAACAATGTTATAACTTATTTAAGCCAATATAATCTTAGCCACATAAGTAAGCAACATATCAGAACTAACCGGTGTTAAGTAATAATTTCAAGATGGCGTGTTCATCGACTGAAATTAATAGTTTTGCACCCTGATGCAAAGCAATAATCTTGAGCTGCATTCATACGACATGGGTTGCTTTCAAATATGACGGAATCAAATGATTCCTCTTTCAACCAATAACAGATCAGATTTCATATGAATTGAACACCTGTTGTAAATATGAAGTGATGAATTATACTTAACCATTAAGAACCATTGGTTCGGTAGCATTATTTTGAGCACCAACCCTGTATCAAGGAATTCCGATGGTAAATATCATATCAGCCTGATGATGTATACGACATATTCAGATCTTGTGCAGTGTTGCTACAAAAATATTGAAATTTTGCATTTGGAAAATTGAAGTCGACTCATTTATTTTCAATCAACCGAGCGTAAGTCAAACACACCTTGTTGTTCTTCTATTGTTTTTCCACGTAGATAATAACACAAGAGGATCAAAAGTTATAAACTACTGTTAAAGTATTACAGAATACTTACTAAAAAAATAATAACACATACAAAAAAGATAGAAAAGGGGGCCATTCCCCAAGCGCCTGTGAATTCTTCTACCCGATTTTACCAAAGTGTTCCCATGCTCAGAACAAACGTCAGATCAAATCACCGTAAAACGTAGTCTTTATTATTATCTATCTTAGGCATCGTTTTTCAATCTATCGAAAAAAAAAAAAATCAAATTGAAAGGAAGCAAAAAAAAAAAAAAATACAAATGCAATATCTGATCTTTCATCTGCAATGATTTACTATTTACTCACCGTATTATTTCATACAAAAATGGCTTGCTTGATGTATTTTTTATAAACATAATGATTATGGTAATTGCGTGATAAAATTCTAGATTCTATCAAGTCAAATGTCTGCCTTTGAACTCTCTCTCTCTCTCTCTCTCTCTCTCTCTCTCTCTCTCTCTCTCTCTCTCTCCGTCATATGTTTATGTCAGGGATTCATTTTTCTGAGATTTAATTTTATTTTTCAGAACGAGAAAAAGCCGCGAAGATATGCATGACAAGAGATTGTGTGAAAGCAGGTAAAATCATAATCCAGATGTAATATATTATAGACTATTGAAGGGTACATATACATGTACATACCATGTAGACATACACGGCATTCACAGTTACATGTACAATGACACCGATCATAGGTTGTGTGAACAAATAAAATAATACAAGGCATGACATGCTGCAAAATACCGATGCAGATTAAAAGTAACATTTGCTACGCAAACATACAATGGATAAGTGAAAAACATGTAATTATAACCATGATAACACACAGGAAGATGTTCACAAACGAAAGACTCATCATCGCTAGTACGAGAAATGTGTTTATAAAGAAAACCAAAAGATCTGTGATGAAATAGCATTATTATGATTTGTTCTTTGTCTTGGATAAAATAAATCGTATCTATTTAATAATGCTGCAATATGTCGTCAGAAAATCTTTTTATGATTTTTTAAGGTTTAATTTGTCAAAAACCTACTAAGAAACTAGGCTGAAAATTATGTATGTAATTGCGATCTTTCAGAATGAATGCCATTATAAATATATTTGGAAATATTCAACAGGTGCCATGTGTGTTTTTTCGCACCAGCTGAAACAAAGTACATAAAGTTAACCATAACTTTAATTCTTATTGTTAATACTATTTTTTTTTTTTTTTTTCTCGACCGTACATAGAATAATGAGGAAAATTCATTTTCCAGATTTCATTTGACAATAAAGTATACATTTTCATAAGACAATAAAGTAAACATTTTCATAAGACAATAAAGTATACATTTTCATAAGACAATAAAGTACACATTTTCATAAGACAATAAAGTAAACATTTTCATAAAATAATAAAGTATACATTTTCATAAGACAATAAAGTAAACATTTTCATAAGACAATAAAGTATACATTTTCATAAGACAATAAAGTAAATATTTTCATAAGACATATAAAGTAATAATTTTCATAAGACAATAAAGTATAGATTTACATAAGACAATGGCGTATACATTTTCATAAGACAATAAAGTAAACATTTTCATAAGACAATAAAGTATTCATTTCCATAAGACAATAAAGTATACATTTCTATAAGACAATAAAGTATACATTTTCTTTGTGCTATAATATCATATTATGTTCCTACTTGGTTATTGTTATGCTATTTTGCTTCCAGCTGCAAGAATATTGCAAGGAATGAACCCGTCATCGAATCCTTGCGATGACTTTTATGAATATGCATGTGGTAACTGGAACAAAGTAAACATCATTCCCGATGACAGGTCAAGCTATAATACATTTGCTAAACTCTTAGATGACCTACAAGTCATAGTGAAAGGTAAACTCGAATAGATTGCTAGTGACTGTATTAACCAGATTTTAATAGCATGAATATTATAGTTTTATCTTTGTCAGTTTGTCTGTATATGTCTGTCTTCTGTCCGTCCGTCAACAATTTTCTGTGAACGGAAAAACTTCACAAAGTACGGATGCATAATAATTATGTAGATGTGCATTTGAGCAATTTTTATACTTTTTGTGTGCGTAAAACCTAAAAGTATGCAAAACAGAAAATCTTCAAAAGTATGGAGAGGATGGAGCACAATTTTTCACAGTTGTACAGTATTAGTAACCTAATTTTTTATCAAAAATCACAATATATATATATATATATGTTTACGTCTAGATATCGTAAAATATAAGCCGCTTGACACAAAGTGAAACATTGGGGCTGGCGGGTGATATTTTACGACATCAGTGTGTAGAAATCCCGATGATCTATACATATATATATATATCAAATTTCGTGGAAATCCCCTTTTATGCTAGGAATTCAACAAAATTTAATATATTGAAGTTCATATTAATGCAATTCAAAATTGATTCTCGTTGTTATAAATTATGAGCGTTTTATTTTTTTGTGAATATAAAATAATTTATTTTGGTAAAAAATTAATTCTTAAAAAGAGAAGTACATGTACACAATTGTATATAGTTGTTTTGCTTCATTTGTAGGAGTGCATATTAAGTTTTGCAATGACTTATACATCCTTGGGTTTCATGTTTGCTTTGAGCGTCCCTAATGAATGTAAATTAAGAAAAGCAGTTCAGACGCAACTAATTTACAAAGATAGTTTGTTATTTTTATTAATTTTCTTGTGATAAATTGGATAAAACATGGGAACAAGAGAAATCACATATTTAAGACCATCTGTTTGTCTTTTGATTTCAACAAAAATGATACATAGGTGGGTTAAATTATTCCAAATTGATTCCTGATATCACACATTATCTATCTGTCGCCTTTTTCAAAATGACCTTCAAAGTACGTTATACATTCAAAGTGCTCAGATTTCAAAGAAATTCGATAACTACATAAAATATTATACCATGAGTTGATTTCTTATGTCAAAAATTATCCGTCGGCTCCCATTTTCAAAAATATCTATTGGCCGCTATTTTCATAATATTTAAACATTAAAACTAGTTGGATATATGTATTTTGTAGGGCACTAATACACATCATGTTTCACTTTAAACACAAAAGCAACGCAAGATGATACCTAAGGAACTTACAACGGCATTAATTATGTGTTTTCTTTGACTCACACAAGATATAAGCAAGTGAAACCTTCCTTTCATGTCAATGTCTGTTTTTATACCCCCGCCGTAGCAGAGAGGTCATTAGGTTTACCCTTGTACGTCTGTACGTCCGTACGTCCCGAACTTGGTTTCCGTTCTCTAACTTTAGTTTGCCTCAACCAACTTTAATGAAATTATACACATGCTTATTACCACAAAACACAGATCAAGTTTGAATTTGGGTGGCGTCACTTTTACCTTTCTAGAGTTATGCCCCTTTACAAATGAAAAAAATGCTGAATTTTTTGGTTCCGTTCTCTTACTTAAGTTTGTCTAAACCAAATGTTATGAAGCTTATACACAATGCTTATTACCAGAAAACTCAAATCAAGTTCTTGAGTTATGTCCCTTTATAACGTTAAATGCAAGCGGGGGCATCATCTATGTCCAATGGACACATTCCCCATTTATCTATTATTATTATTATTATAGCACCACTTTTTTTGTCCACCATATATCTCGGAATTGTATGGACCAATTCTAAAGGAACTATACAATAATGTTAACCGGCATGTGCATATGGCATTTTCAAGATGGCTACCGTTGCCATGGAAACTGCTAAAATGTGAAAAAAAAATTCAAAATTCAAAATCTTTTAATATCCAACTGGATGAAGCTTTATGGAAATTTTACCTGTTACATCTAGATGTGCAGATGGTATTTAGAAATTCTAAAATGGCTGCCATTGCCATGAAAACGGGGGAAATGTTTAACATTGACCTTATGGAAAAACACATTAAACCAGCATTTTCTTAAAGAATATATGATCAAACCCATTGATTCTTTAATCACGTGTAGCATGTTATGGGTCAATCTTGTATCTGTTGTTGGAATTTTGAAATTGTCTACCGTAACCATGGAAACATCAAATATATCCAAAATTTCAAATACACCAAACTTTCTGAAACTTTGCAGAAATGTTTAATGACATGTGAGGAGTTGATATTTGACTTTGGAATTTTCAAATGGCCACCATGGACACAGTAAAAATGTATGAAATGGAAAATGCTTAAAATCTTGTGCAAATTTACAGAAATATGCGTCGTCATGCATTTCTGTCCATTGACTGTTGAAAAGTTTAAAAATGGTTGCAGTTTAGAAACAATTGGTGGACGAGGGTGCCATCCGCTATCGCTCGCAATGTTGCGACATAATTTTATAGGAACCACTGACAGAGTTCGATATTATTTCTTTTTTCTCATTTCTATTCACCTCGGGAAAATTAATGAGAGGACAATATCAGATTTGTAACAGCTAACGTGTACTTTAATAGTTATTTTCAGATATGTAACGTCAATGACGTTGGTTTTTAAAGCGTTTTTTTATAAATATTTCAACTTATGAAAGTTAGCAGCTGCAGAAGCAATTAATATATAAAGCATACAAATAAGGAGCAGCTGGTTGGTACTATAATTTTTCAACCCATATATAAACCATTATATCAATCTCATTAAAAGTCAATAATTGTATAATGGCGAACACAATACCGATAAGGTGTATTGGTTTATTTAATACAGATATAATTCTATTTCAGGGCTTTTAGAGAGACCTGCATTATCATCTGAATGTGAAGCAGTGAAGAAGGCCAAATATTTATACCACTCGTGTATAAATGAGAGTAAGTTTACAGCGAATACAACACATAACATTAAACTTTCATTATACATTTGTACTAGTGTTTTCAAGATTAAGGGAACTCCAATATGATTAACACTAATGTCATCCTTTGATGTATTGATTATTTCGTTTATATTAGGAAAATAAGAAGATGTGATGTGATTGCCAATGAAACAACTCTCCGCCAGAGACCACAATGGACAGACGTTAACAACTGCAAGTCACCATACGGACTCAATAATGAACAAACCCCATAACGGATAGTCAATGAACATTATTGATTTCTTATGATATTTTTTAATAGTTCAAAGTCTACATGACAATTTTGGTTCTCTAAGAACTCTGAACGCTGGAATGTTTATATTGGGGATTTATTGATAAAATATATCAGATGCATCGATGGTTTACTAAGAGATTCACAATTTATTCGTTCTTTGTCGCATAAACAAATTGTCAACTGTTATCCGAAAAAAGGGGGTCAGCAATGAAATGAGATTCTTTAATTATAAGATTATCGCCGTTTTTCTGTTTACAATCACATGCCACTTAAAAGAAACTAGTTTCAACCTTATCATATCAATTCTCCTACGTTATACACTTAATTCTTCGCTACACTATAACGATTACTCATTACCAGTCATGAGTCTTCAATCACTAATGCACCATTCCCTGGTCCCCGTTACAAAATAAGCGTTTCATTGAGAAGTTTATATTTATCAAGGGCTGTACGTCTTAAATATTGGTATCTTGACTTTAGTATTCGTTTTTAGCACTAATTGACGAAAGGGGTATCGATCCAGCTTTTGATCTGCTACAAGAGTTAGGTGGATGGCCTGTAACGGAAAGAGAGTCAACTTGGTCAGAAGAAAATTTTAATTTAATTGATTTGATGGTGAAGCTCAGATTTTATAACAATAAAATTTTGGTAGACCAGTGGGTCAGTGCAGACGATAAAAACTCGGAAGTCAATGTGATTCAGGTAATGTTAGCACTTACATTGCCATACATAGGTACATATGATAAGAAGATATAAAGTTGGCAACAGCAAATCATAAGTCGTAGGAAAAAACAACAAAATGACAAAACAGAAAAAGACGGGGGAAAAATAGGGAAAAAGTACAAATATAGCAGACCAATATGCTAAATTATCCATTAAAATTATGTTAAAAGGATTACAGTATTTAGCAAAACTGTTTGACAGTAGAACAGTCCACACAGTTGCAACACCGACTATTCCGAAAAATAGAAAAGTAGCAACGTATGGAATTGATATAAATGACTCAGTACAGACACTAAATGTGGTGTGGTTAAACCGGTATATTTTCTCCTTTAAAGAATTGACGTTCGATACTGTTGAATCAGATGGCATTATATTGCAATCAAAACGTTAGCGAAACATCTATTAAATGAAATGCACAAATGATAAAAAAAGTGCCGAACTCCAAAGTATATTCTAAAAGGGGGGGGGGGTCTATAAACCCCGACATGATCAAACATTAGACTATACCTACCAACGGAATGAATGGAAAACACCTGTCATATTTCTGAATTGGTACATATATTTTCCGCGGAATATAGTTGGTTAAACCTAGTTTTATGGCTAGCTTATTATTAACCTCCCACATGTACATGGTCGTGACAGTTGTTTGTAGTTTCGTTGTATTCACAAAATTTGTAAGTGTCTCCGTGAAGTGTAAAACAGGTATAGGCGTATTGCAAATATGCATGAACAGTATACTCAATTATCAAAGTCATATCATGTGAAAAAAAAAAGCACGGACTCTTAGAGATGACTCGGTAGTACTAATATAAATAACGAAGAAGTTCACAAATCAATTTGATACATCATATGTTCAAATTATTTCTCGTCGGAAACGTTCGAAATCAATTTTTACCAAACAATGCTTTTAAAATCTAATATTTGACCTAATGTCGTATCTATCAATTTCAGATTGATCAACCTGATTTGGGAATGCCCGCCCGGGAATATTACTTGAAAGGCTTAGACGATCCAATTGTGCAAATGTATCACCGGTTTGCTGTAAATGTAGCTGTGATGTTAGGTGCAAACAAAACGGCGGCAGAAATGGAAATGAGAGATATGGTGCAACTTGAGGTCGAGTTAGCAAATGTATGTCATTTTCAAATGCGTCTTTTAGAATTTACTGAAGAAGATTATAATCATTTAATCATTTTCGATAAATTGTTTGAAAATTTAGACTAGTGTTTAGATTTTGTTTTAATAAATTTATTTTCAGATTAAAATTTGCTTCATTTGTTAATAGATAAAAAGTTGGTAGAAATACAATATTGTGTAACTTTTATCTCAAATTACAGTCAAATCTGTACCAAGAGACCACTCTAGGTAGACGACAAAAGTAGGCTCTTAATACAAGTGGTCTTTGGATACAGGTTCACACATTCGACCAGAAGGAAACTTTCACTTGCATAATTTTTCCTGTACTATAAATGAATTAATTGTATTCATAAGCATATCCAAAACATAAGGAATTATGAATTAAAATATTTTATCCCTTCTTGTCTTTATATGTTCCATCTTTTTCCCAGTGTATTGTACATCACAAGAATATGAATTTTTCGTTATTAAGTCCAGACTCATCCATGTAAAAAACATCCCAGGTATACATAATGCATATCTAAATAACTCAAAATTGTGAATTTAAAACTGTCAGTGTGTTTGGTTTTGTGTATAAAGATATCTTCATTCCCTGAAAGGGACTATGGTTAGCAAAGTAATTTATTAAAATGATTTTTTTTTATAATTTGTTATTTTCTTATTGGAATCCCGTAAATATTTGGCCTGACATTCCATGTCAAATAGTATTGTTGTTAAGAAAAGACGAAAAGTATCATTATTTTAGGAAACAAATACAAATTGTGTCAACTGAATTAGGGTTCGACAATTATAAAAAAGATTAATGTTAAAAAATGCTTTACAAGAAACTGTGAATGAACTTGATTTACGAAAAAAGAGATTAATTGTTACAGTAGTAGGATTGGTTGTTATTAAACGGTGTAATATTTTCAGGTTACAGTTTCACAAGACAAAAGGAGAGACAGTGAACTCTTATACAACAAAATGAACATAAGTACATTGCAAAGAACTGTACCTCGGGTAACATCATTTATCTTGTTTAAGACATCTAGTATGCTTATTGAAAAATCATGTTTCTTTGGAATGAAATTGTACTATTAAAAGATGACAAAAAGAAAGCATCGTTCCGTTCGATAACTTTTGTCGAAGTATGTTCTATCTTAACAGCTTTACACAAATGAAGATTAGGTTGCAAAACTCTTGTAAATTGGTTTTGTTCCACCTTTATGATTCTTTTCATTTCTCAATAATAAACATGCTATGATTTTAATCAGATGATTCATCTTAACTACACAATGGTTACTTTGTATTTGACTCCTGTTTTAGTATTTTGATATGATTAGAATCGTTTTAAACTGTTTGTTCTGATTCACCGTATCATGACATGACAAACAAGCAGCTTCCGTTATTGATGAAAGGTGGTTACGTTAATCTAAGGATATTAATCATGTTCTATATTTCTTGTCATCAATTTTATTTTACAAATTTATCAGTTCTATTTCTGGGAAATAGAAGTCTATAATATGAGCTAATGAAGCCTATGATATAGGCTAATAAGTTCTCAAGAAAAATATATTGTTTTATGCTCATCCTTAGTTTGATTGGTTAAGATACCTGCAAGAAGTGTTTAAGCCTGTCAACAAAACTATAACCTCAGCAGAAGAAGTTGTCGTTTATGCACCAACATACCTGTCAGATATGGTAGACATTGTCAACAGAGCCAGTAGCAGGTAACTAAATATAAGTAGTCAACCTCGGGGGTGCATACCCAACTACATCAGTCCTATTCAGGACCGATAACTCTGTCGATAAATATTGGCGGGTATATAATGTTGGTGAAATGTATACAATAACAAGTTTTTGTACACAAGTTAAAATTTCAATATCGATTTTTTCAGTGCCTGGATTTTGCTTAAAATATTGAATTGATAAAATAGATGACAAAAATTAAAGTCATATGCAATGAAATCTCGTTTAATTTTCTACGAAATAAAAAAAAAATCTATTTAATATAAAATTTGAATCAGAATATTTCTTTAAAACAATTATCGTGAAACATTAATATTTGAAATTTTTTTTAAACAAAAATCAACTTATCAAAGAATTTTTCATAATATTCATATTTTCATAAAGTTCTTTATGATATATATTTCTTCTGTTGTGTACACGGGGAAGAGAAAATATTTATCTGCACGTGTATGAAAACTTTTGTATATCACAAAATCTAAACTCTGGATATACATGTATACACAGGATGTTAATGTCACCTGGTTACTTTTGGTTTGACACGATTCTTTTACACTACCTGGCAATATATTGTTATGTAACATTATAACCTAAGTCAGAGTTCACCTGTTCGTCAAGGGACATTAGTTTTTAAAGGTACAGAAAATTTTTCTATAATAATTGTAGGGCATTATTTTTTTCTCTTGGAACGAAGATTTTTTTTTTCTAAAAGAAATGTATATATATATTTCTAAATATAGATCAGTTATACATAAAACAGGGAAAATACCTTAAAAAAAAGGAGCGAAAAATAATGTTATTATAAATTTCAGTGTTAATTATTTTCTGGGAACAGTATATCTTGGATGAATGTAGGACAGAAAGTCACAGGACAAAAAGTCACGGACGAAAAGTCACAGGACAAAAAGTCACAATTCAGTTTTGAGATTATTTTTCTCTGAACAAGAAAACACGAATTTTAAAAATAAATTTTTGATTTTTTCTTGAACTATAATATATGAAGCAACTTTGTAATTAAAATTTATTCAATAGATATCAATGATGATCAAATAATTGTTATGATAACAAAATGTCAAAGTGGTTTGGCACTTAAATGGCTTCATGGTGCCAAGATATATATCATTTGCATGATTAAAATTTAATAACTTTTCATTTATCAAGGCTTATGAACATTTTCCTAAACTTAAAAATGAATAAATGTAAAAAAAGAAATTATTTGAAGACTTTTCTCTTATATATTCAAAAAATTGTCAACAAATTATTTGTGACTTTTTGTCCTGTGACTTTTTGTCCTATCCAATTTGTGACTTTATGTCCTGTGACTTTTTGTCCTGTGACTTTCTGTCCGTTTACCTCTTGGATATCTGTCAATATAAATGTTCTCGTGTTATTTTTTACACTTCACACTTGAAATAATTTATTTTTCATCAATAAATTTTGAAATCAATCATATCGAAATATCATTAAAGAAAATAACAGAAACAGCACAGATTCTGCATGAAAATACACGATGATTAAAATAAATGCGACATTTCCAAACACATCCGCCATTTTGAAAAATCACGAAAAATCGATTTTTTAAATCGATGTGGGACGTAAATAAACTCATCATAGATACCAGGATTGAAATTTTATATTTACGCCAGACGCGCGTTTCGTCTACAAAAGACTCATCAGTGACGCTCGAATAAAAAAATGTTAAAAAAGCCAAAGAAAGTACGAAGTTGAAGAGCATTGAGGACCAAAAATTCTTAAATGTTTTGCCAATTACAGCTAAGGTAATCTATTCCTGAGGTAGAAAAGCCTTAGTATTTCAAAAATTCAAAGTTTTGTTAACAGTTAATTTATAATTATGAACATATCAATGATAACTCAAGTCAACACAGAAGTGTTGACTACTGGGCTGGTGATACCCTCGGGGAATTAAAACTCCACCAGCAGTGGCATCGACCCAGTGGTTGTAAATAAACTTATCATAGATACCAGGATTGAAATTTCATATTTACGCCAGACGCGCGTTTCGTCTACAAAAGACTCATCAGTCACGCTCGAATCAAAAAATGGTAAAAAAGCCAAAGAAAGTACGAAGTTGAAGAGCATTAAGGACCAAAAATTCTTAAAAGTTTTGCCAAATACAGCTAAGGTAATCTATTCCTGAGGTAGAAAAGCCTTAGTATTTAAAAAATTCAAAGTTTTGTTAACAGTTAATTTATAATTATGAAACTATCAATGATAACTCAAGTCAACACAGAAGTGTTGACTACTGGGCTGGTGATACCCTCGGGGAATTAAAACTCCACCAGCAGTGGCATCAACCCAGTGGTTGTAAATAAACTCATCATAGATACCAGGATTGAAATTTGATATTTACGCCAGACGCGCGTTTCGTCTACAATTTGCTCTAAAATTACACTGTTTTAAGTAGAATATTTCGCCAGATATATGTTTAAATATACGCAATCGATTTGCAAAGTTTGACTTTTAATTACGGAATTTCTTAATTTGATGTACAAGTAGACATGGGTATCGGTAGAATTAACATTGAGTCAACGGGGAAATGACGAGAAAAATTGCATTTTTTACGATTCTCCAGGGACGTAATTTAATCAAAAACTAAACTGTCAGGACCAACATTGTTTGGTAGAAATATGTTTGAATATCAAGGATTGATTTGCAAAAGTTAGAAAACGGGTCAGATTAATGAGAAAATTGAACTTTATTGAAGCAACTATGCAATTTAAATGGGACAAGCTAATTCAAAATGGCGGCTCACTATACGTCACCAAAGTCACGTGATGTCTTACTTAGTTGGATATGGGGGGGGGGGGGGGGGGGGAGGGGCACTTCAATACTTAATTGATAAGGGTGTCGCTGGGGTTCTGTTACATCACCATTTTCATATAATTTAGATCTTAAAATTGTATACCTTTTCATATATTGCGTAGGTAAAAATGTAACCTTTTCCCATATTGGTCGGGTTTCGTGTGACTTTATTGAACTTATCATATATTGCTGATAGTTTTCCCCACCTATTTACATATTTTCAAGCTAGAAAATGTGACCTATTCCAGTGGCACGTCCTATCACCTTGTATATAATATGTAATGACTGATGATATGATTGTTACACCATGCTCGTCATACATAGGATATAATGTGAATACAACTAATTGTGTTTTACAGAGTAAAACAAAGGAAATGCGTCAGAATAATGTTTCAGTTTTGAATATCGGTGTCCATTCACCTAAGGAAACATAGACTATCCGTATATATTTTTCTCACCTTCCTGACTTTTTTTCGATTTTATAACTCATTCAAGCCAAACAATTCTTAGTTACGCTAATAAGCAACTAGTCAGTACAAACTGTTAGTGATCGTTTCAAAATGGCGTTTTTTTATTGACTGAAACTAATAACTTCGAACCATGACGAGAGACAAAACTAGTTCAAAGATACTTACCGATAATGTTAAATCATCGAAATAAAATGTCAAGTGATTTATTCTCTGTATAAGCAATAATTCTTAAAATAACCACAGTAAGCTTAGCTCAGTGATATACTTTTTCATTTTTCATTTTAGCCTTTTTTTTGTGTATATTTAAATCACACTCCATTGCAATTTAAAAAAAAACTATTTTTTATTGGTAGGACATTAACAAATTATTTGATATGGAGGATAATGATGAATCGAATAACTAATCTCCCAGCAGTGTATAGAAATGTTCAAAAGGAATACCAAAAGGTAATATCACCGAACCAGCAAGTCTAAAAATGAATACCAAAAGGTAATATCACTGAACCATCAAGTCTAAAAATGAATACCAAAAGGTAATATCACTGAACCATCAAGTCTAAAAATGAATACCAAAAGGTTATATCACTGAACCACCAAGTTTCAAAAGGAATACCAAAAGGTAAACTCACTGAACTATCAAGTCTCAAAAAAGAATACTAAAAGGTAATTTTATTGAATCATCAATCTCAAAATTAATACCGAAAGGTAATATCACTGATCACCAAAGAGAGACGAAAGATACCAAAAAGAGTAACGTCATATATACGTCAGTTTGACCAAACGACATAAATAATCAACATACAGATTGTCAATCTTTAAATTGCCCCCTTTCTTAAAAACGTTGTGAATGAATTACACCGTCTCAACAAACGCACAAGATTATTTTGGTTTTTTTTTTATAACTGAAAATTAAGCCTCCGTTCATATATTGTCAGTAAAAAAACACAACCGGCTATATAGATATAAGAAGATGTGGTCTGAGTGCCAATGAGACAAATCTCCATCCAAATCACAATTTGTAAAAAGTAAACCATAGGTCAAAGTACGGCCTCCAACACGGAGCATTGGCTCACACCGAACAGCAAGCTATAAAGGTCCCCAAAATGACAAGTGTGAAAAGTAAAATAACAAAAACACCAAACTCCGAAGAAAATTCTAATCGGAAAGTGCCTAAGCAAATGGCAAAATCAAAAGCTCAAACACATCAAACGAATGGATAACAACTGTCATATTTCTGACTTGGTACAGGCATTTTCTTATGTAGAAAATGGTGGATTAAACCTGGTTTTATAGCTAGCTAAACATTTCACTTGTATGAAAGTCGCATAAACTTCCATTATATTGACAACGATGTGTGAACAAAACAAACAGACATAATAGGTAAAAATGTCAAAAATAGGGGTACAGCAGTCAGCATTGTGTTATAATCTTAATCACTATAAAAACATACAAATATGTCAACAAAGAAAACAAAAAGGCATATAGAGAAAGCACATAAGCAAGAAAAAAAAAGAAGACAAGAATACAAAACTTTACCATAGCACAATAACACAATGACGGGATGTATAAGTACCGAGCCACGTCAAATGGATATTACCAAATATAGACTAAACTGTAAAAGTAATAATTTACAAAGACAAATAAAAGAATACCATAACACGTTATTAAGATGATAAACACCGATACTATCTAGAATATATATTTCAAGACCATCGTGTATTATTTGTGAAGTTGATACGGACTATTTATAAACAAGGTCTTGGTTTCTTCCGATGAACTATTTTAGAAAAAGTTCGAGTCGTTCTTTGACATACCCCTGGTTCATCAACTTTCACCTCAGACACAGAAAGTCTGAGTAGCAGCTGCAAGCTCTTGATTACCGAATGAGTAGGGAAATGTATATCCCATATGCAGGTGAAGTTGGTATATTGCTACAAAGGTGGGGGAAATTGATAATTTCAAAATTAAAATCGTCTCGTTTGTCATAGATTCTGGAACTGAGATGACCGCTTATGTCAAATTTGAGATATAAGTTTAAAAATGAGGCAGAGGAAGCCGTGTCTGTTGTTTCTTTAATTTCTAGTTCTGGAAGATATATTAATGGAACCCAATCAGAAAAGTTTGGATTGTTAATGGAAAGAACATCATCAATATATCTGAATGTGAAATTAAATGATCTAGCTTCTTTGATCTTCTTCTTTTTTTCGACAAGTGTCTGAAGGAACCCTGACTCGTATGAAAATAAGAAGAGGTCGGCAAGGAGAGGCGCACAGTTCGTTCCCATAGGAATGCCGACAATTTGTTGAAAAAGTCTATCTCCAAATTAAATAAATATGTTGTCAATAAGTAACTCTTGCATACTGATAACTTGTTCCTCTGTATAACATGTTTTACTTTTTTGTTCACTATTAACAAAATATGCCGTATGGTATCCCAAAGTAATAAATTTATAGCATATGCTACCATTTTTATGTTGAAAAGCATTGTGGATTATTTCTTATAGACAATTTCACATGGGGAATGGTGATATACAGGGTTAACAAATCAAAAGTTTTGGTAGAACTAATTTCAGAGAAAGATCGAGATTTAAAATTATCAAGAAGTGTTTTAGAATCCACATTTGGTAAATACCACTACGCGAGTGCTATGAAAAAATAATACTAAACTTGTAATAATTTAACAAAGAAAAGAAGGATAATAATATCATACCGTATCAAAGAATGGTCGCAGTTACTGAAAGTAAGCTTAAATTTCTTAACCAACTAATATGATGCCGTCCTATACTATAATTGGGTTCCTGTACATCATTACATACACCATAAACAGAACCAGAACAGGCTTCTTTCAAAAGTTGCATCGAAAGACACCAGGAACCAATCTTATTTATGTTGTATCTTAAAGACACCACACATGTTGCCTTCGATAGAACGTTGATATCGGTTTGGAATTTAATTATTAAGTTTTTAGATAAGTATTTTACTTTGCAAACTCCATCTTTATTGTAGTTTTGTACAATTTTAAGCATTTCACATTTAGCTGAATGTATATATCTAAATCATAACACTGGGCTATCAAGCAAATACATGATTTATAGAAAACAAATCAGTAACTATTTCTAAATGACCCTGATGAGAAATTATTTATTTGTTAATCGCTTTATTCTTTTACTTAATAATATACGGAATCATTAAAATTAATCGATGTTTTTAAGACTATGTATGGTTCGGAACAAGAACTTTCAAGATGGAGGGACTGTGTTAGTTATGTCAACGACAATATTGGAAATGCGGTTGGAAGAATGTTTGTAGATGACTATTTTGATGAAGACGCTAAAGAAATCGTATGTATCTGATGGTGAAGACCATTATAAATCTTATAAAGACTCAATGGAAATCTTTTGTATTTTTTTCTCTTTTAATTACATGTACATATTGTGTTGTTTTAAAGCATTGCATTAAAAAAAAAAGATTGAATCTTTTATCGTTGAATTAACTGTTGTAACAAATCTGTGAAAGAACACTGCTGTTTCTTTGATAGAAATTGGCTATTTACAGCATTTTACATGATTTGTATCCGTTTTTTCTATTTTAATGATTTCGTCAAATGATAATTGAGGAAATGTAATCACAGGTAGATCGAATGAATGATAATGCATTAGACCACAACGTATCTCATTTGATGTAATTCTTCTTTCAGGCGTTAGATATGATTCATGGCATAAGAGCTGCTTTCGGTGAATTGCTGGAGGAAGCCGAGTGGATGGATGATCCGACAAGAAAAGTAGCAAAGGAAAAGGTTAGATTTACAGACTGCATACGATGTACCAAATTGCATACGGTATCGTATGGTTGAATAAAATCAAATGTTTGTTTTCTCTTTGACAATAAAGAGCTTGAAATGTTGTATTCTTACAGACGAAATTTCTAGATGTCTTATTGTCGTATACCCATCAAAATTGAACGTTCGAAATATTTTAGCTAAAATAAAATGCAAAAGATCAGGTATTAAAAGTACTTTATCTTGATATAAACGAAGCATACTGACCCATGATGTTATTATAATCATTAGGTACACTTAACAGCGGAACTCAACTAAGAATATATAATTTGTTTGTGATAGTTCAAAATTATTCTTTAGAAAAACTGGTCATGTAAGACACCGACCATTGATTTTTTGAGGGGGACATGCTTTTGTTTAAAATTGTTTGTTTACCAAACTTCCTGAAATAAACAAAGGGTTCAAAGCAGAAGTTAAGGTAAAGTTAAGAGTAAATGTTTTGCTCCTTGTTGAAAACCGTACGGCGACTAACAGTTGTTAACTGCTATGCCATTTGGTCTCTGGTGGAGATTTGTCTCATTGGCAATCATACCATATCTTCTTATTTATATATTAATAAGAAAACGTTTGTTTCTTGTGATAAAATGTAAAAAATTAAAGCCACCATAGTTTATGAAAATCTTTTCTTGTATTTGATTGGTTTTACATTGTCCTGAGACCAAATTTGTTTGACATTATATGGAACATACATCATATGTTTGTAAAAATTGAATGCAAATAAATTTCCTGCAACATCCAATATGTACATGTAGGTTTCCAACTTATAATGATATAAAAAAGGTAGTTATATGTGTAAATTGTGATTGTAGTCCGATGCTATTGCTGAAAAGATAGGATATCCATCTTACATCGTAAACGATACTGCATTGGACGATGCCTACAAAACAGTAAGTATTTATTGTAAACGATACTGAATTGTAAACGAAACTGAATAGGACGATGGCTACAACACAGTAAATATTTATTGTAAACGATACTACATTGAACGATGCCTACAAAACAGTAAGTATTAATCATAAACGATACTGCCCTGGACGATGGCTACAATACAGTAAATATTTATTGTAAACGATACTACATTGAACGATGCCTACAAAACAGTAAGTATTAATTTTAAACGATACTACATTGTTCGATAGCTACAATACAGTAAGTTTTTATTGTAAACGATACCGCCCTGGACGATGGTTACTTCTAAATTGATTGCTGTGGTACTTTGTGTAAGGGCAGATAACAAGTAATATTCTCAACAGTTGTTCATTTCAAGATGCGATAGAAATAGAAATTTAATTTGATGAAAACTGGTAAACTTTTAATTGATTTGAAGTTTAATGACACATTATATATGGTTAAACACTATGATTACATTGCATTAAAGTTATTAAAGATCATTGTAAAGTAGCACACATAAGAATGTTAAAATCGAAATAAATCAGGCTTTACCTAGTCAAAATTGAAATCACACACTTGGATTTGTGTTGACTATTTTTGTATTTTCAACGCAGCTCAAAATTATGAAATGTATCTCTATTCTGTTTTAGGTAACATTTCATCCAAATACCTATTTCGAAAATGTGTTGGCGAATCTGAAAAGTGTGGCTATAAACAATTTAGAAATCCTAAGGGAACCAGTCGATAGAACAAGGTAACAGTCTGACTGAATAACATACAAAGAGGGAAATATAAACAGTTTATACAGAATGCCAATAATTACTACTTGAGAGTACAAGTCATGCATGAGAATATGGTACAATATAAGCATCATCACTCTCATTATTTGGGTTTTTAGAATTTGAAGACTATCATTTGAAGTGAAATAACACCACAGAAACACAATAACCAAACGAATAATGAACAACATTTAAATTGTAGGAAAATTTGAAATAAGAATTAGAAAAACTTGACATGACTAAATGATTGTTAATATTGCGAAATATTTTTTTGGCAGATGGTCAACAACTCCAGTTGTAGTAAACGCATTTTACAGTTCAACCAAGAACCAGATAAGTAAGTTTCAATGCTATAGTATTTGTTTGTATGATATAGACAGGGAATTAAACAACTTGTTTAAACTTATTGTTGAATGTCAGTCCATGCAACTAATGGAATGAAAAAAAATGTACTGAAAAATGATAATTTGTCTTCATTCAAAGCAAAAACATTTGAAGTCTTAAAGGGCAGTTGAAAAGATATGGAAAGCCATAAAAAGGAGATATTATTATAAGTATAGTCTCATTTATCGCTATACCTGTCAATGTCTCTTTGATATAGATTATCTCGAAATAAGAATATGTAGCTACAACTTAAGTAAGGCGGTCTAATTTCTTGTAATGACAGAAAATATTAACAAACCACATGCAATAGAACGTGCAATCTTTAATTTAACGCTTAGACGTTCACTTATAATAATAGTGTCTTCAAATCAGATACTCTATCCCAATAAACTATAATGAAACCGTATGCTTGCGTAAATCAGACATTTTTTAAAACTCGTATTGTTTTCGGAGTAATTTTTTTTTTTTTGAATTCCTTATCTTTTCTAAACAGACTTAAATGTATAATGTTGATATTATGTTTCAGTGTTCCCAGCAGGAATATTGCAGCCACCATTTTATGGAAAAGGATATCCAAAGTGAGAATGATTTCATGGTTATTTTTTATTATAGTTTTGAATAATGACAACATTTTTCAAATTATTTCTTTGTAATCACTATTTCACAGGTTTTTATTGTACCTCTAGGACAATATGTGCTATTTTTGTTCAATGAAGCCCCGTGTTGAATTGTTCATAGATCGTTTCCAAAACTGCAAAATCAATTTTAACCAAACTCCAAATGATCGATCCTAAGGGTGTCGGGATGAACGTTTATGAATTACATTTTGGGATATCAACAACAATGGTCGCCATGACTAAAAAAAAAAGGATATTGGGTAAATTGCAAGTAATTGATTTATTATCTTGAAAACCATTAAACATATAATTTAAATATCTGATTGGGTAAAATATTCAAATCGAATAAATGTCGAAATCTTCCTAATTACAATACGTACCAAAATATTTTGACGAATCATTTTAATAGTTCTTTCCTCTAATAAACGATTTGAACCATTTTTAAGTACCGAATATCAGGTTGTTTGCATATCTATACTACTAAAATAACGAGGTCCAATTTTTTAGCCGGCATGAAGTTAAAACGACGAATCAAGGAATTCAACTTTATATATAACTAATATAGGACAATGGTACATGGTGTTGATAAAACATTACACCATTCCCTTTTCTTTTCCACATAATTACTATTACCAATAGTTAACAAGTTCCTGGTCGAATTCGATACCGATACCAATAGTACGTGTTACCTGTTACATAATGTGTACGTTCCGCATCTGTCGGTTGCACCAACAAACGGTGTATTTGGGATTTGCTATATCACACCTGGACTTCGTCATTATACAGAGATTGAGTGACACTACTTAATTAAATCATTGACCCAAAAAAATATATATCTACAAGTGGTTTCCGGTTGTAGTAAGAAATCCAGGACGGATTCAAACAAAGATTTTGAAAGCACAGAAAACTGTGCACCTTATAAGCAGCATGATGTTATCAAATGACAATACGAATACTAAAAATACAGGCTGAAAAGGTACATTAAATTCACGTAACCGCGATGTCACGGGTGTGTTCTAGTTAATATTATGAAATATCAGCTGCGAATCACAATATGAAGCTTTCTGTCGAGTGAGCGCAGCCAACGAGTTCAAAAAGTTTCCATTGTGTATTTTACAATATAAATATGATGAAAATCTGATAATTGATTTATTGGAATGTGTTTGTGTAGTTTGCATTATAGAAAATGGTGTTTTATTTGTTTCGCCAGTTAATTGTAAGATGACTAAATAAGTCAATTTATTTCATTATGACATCGGTGATATGTTTGGGTCAAAGTTATTTAGGCCGGGTTTACGTATTCAACGTCACAAATCCGTGATATGCAAGCAGAGTGATACAGACAATGGGAACACATATACATAATATATTTACAGAAACAAATAAGAGCAAAAACTTTCAGCAATACTTCTAATTAAACAGAAACGATAAAGTGATCCCTGCTTGGAATGACGATTTTTTTACGCATTTTAGCATTTTGCTTATTATCTTCAACACTGTTGTAAATAAACAGATACTGTTGTAAATAAACAGATACGGTAAACTACAAAACTGATGATAAATACAAACTCCCTAAAAAATGCGTGTATGCATAAAACCATATATAGTTAAGTCCTTATATGACTTATTTACTAATGTACCTCAATGAAGATTTTGGCCTTTTTTGTCTTATATCTTTTTAAATATTATTAATGGATATACGAAAACTGTGAAAACAGCAAAAGTGATCAACAATATATATCAACATAATTTTCAATATGACTCAACTATAAATTTACCTTATATAGGAGTATTGTCTTGAATGATTTTTGGAAAAATTCAAGCATATAGACTAAATAAGCTGTCAGCCGCAAAAATAACTGCTTGCAAGGATCTGACAACGCGCCATTCTACTTTTTGTTTAAAAGACCTTTTGGGAGCTTTTGGTTTTGTCATAAATTTGAAGGCAGACATTGCATTGGCTGATGTAACAATTACCAGAACAGAAAGTAGAACAGACTGTTGTCAAATCTTCGTAAGCAATGCATGGACTCAGGATCTGTATTTTAATAAGATTTATCAAAAACATCTACAAAAATTTCAATATGACTTAAACATGTTAAATCATTTATCGATTGATCACAATAGTTAATGCCCGAAAATAAAACTCATCAAAGATACCAAGCTTCTAATTTTGAACACCAGACGCGCGTTTCGTTTACAAAAGACTCTCTAACCATTCTTATTAAAGAGCATTCTTAAATAATTCCGAAGATCCGAAAGGTTTTGCCGAATGCCCGTAAGGTAATTTACTCCTGGGGGTACATTTATTTTACACATTTTTTTTTTCATTTTTGTCATTGATCACTGAAAACATTTGAAGATATAAGAAAACAGAAAAAATAGTTGCACTATAAGATCTATAAGTATGCCAATATGATGACAATATAATATGGAGTCATTAATTACCCTTTTAGCATTTTTGTCTAATATTTGAGAATCATCATCTGTAAACGGCAAAAAATTTTAGAAATAAAAGAATAACATAATAAAAATATGACTGAAAATATTTTCCTTGTGGGAGTAATTGTCCTAAACAACGATTTCTGTTCAATTTTAGCGTTATGTATATTTTCCTGAAAAATGCAATAGAAAATGTAAACAGCAAGAATGAAAAATATTTATAAATCCCAGCATTTCCCGAAACAATCTCGTATATATATTCAAGTTAACTTGACATTAAGGATACTACCGAAAATACAAGGACTACTTTATAATTAGATATTTTTCGTGAAATTGTCACAGATAGGCGACTACAAACTAAATTTTAAGACAAACATGAAAATTCCAGTTTTCCTATTGTTAACTTCCTATTTTCCAGTAATCACATACATTCTGTCCAAACGTACGGTGTTTAAATATCGTGATATATATATATTTCTAATGTATAAATTGATTTACTAGCTATGAAGTCCGTTATCTACTGTTGCCTATATTTTTCGTGAAAATGGATGCGGAGTACTATTTGCCAGATAAGAGTATTAGGGATTCTTCGGACCTATACTATATTTCTAAATTAGTATGGCGATGTTGCTTGTCTTGTACAGCAAATCCTTTGTCTATTTTTTGACTCAACCTTTAACATATTAGTAAATGATATTCATTATAAAGTATATATTAAAGTATGCTTATTTTAGCGAGCAAGGTACTGTAAAAAGTTTTTGTAAACCTAAATTAATGAACACAATATTATAATTTCTTCTTTTACTTGGCATCAACGTACAGCTGACTAAACGGTATAGGATTTTCGCATTGTTGAAGGCAATACGGGGACCTATAATTGCCTTTGTCTTCATCATATTCGCAATCATACCACCTTTTCTCATTTTTTATATTTCTTTGCATTTATATAAAAACGTTGTTGACAAATTAATTAAAATTAAATGAAGAATTCTTTTACTTTGAAACTTGATTTGTTAACTTAAAGATAATATGTGTCATGTTATTTCTATAACAGATCACTCAATTACGGCGGTATTGGAATGGTAATTGGCCATGAGATAACACATGGCTTTGATGACAGAGGTATCAGTATAAATGTAGTTTCTTACATTATATCTTTAAGAAGGGACTTATGTTAAACAAACAGTCTTCTGATAATGTTAAGAAAGATGGCTTTTAATAATGAAGGTAGTCACACATACATTCTTTTAAGTAACAATCAGTTTTTCTCAAATGTGCATGACAGGCAGTCTTGGACTGTTATTGCTTTTGATTTTAAACATAAACAAGATATCTTCTTTTGTGATTGATTTTGTAACTTCTTTTGCGTGAATCAATATATAGAGCATCAGGTGAACGACGCAGAACGTATGTAACATAAACCAGGAATTGATGAAAACAATTTTTTTATTGATTCTAAACTCTAGAGAAAAGTGCAGGTCGCTGTATTCGCTAACCGAATGAGTGTGTAGTTTTGTTTTCTAAGTGTCCATGGCTATACACCTGCAAATTATAACAGACTTAATATTTGCATGTAGGTATTAACTTAGAATATATGTTTATAGTAATTAAAGACAAACACACCAGAACAATCACTGTGAGCGAATATGTTAATCGTATGTAGCTGAACATCATCTCATAGAAGAAGGTCGTAAACTTCAAGTTTAATGAAGCTTACAAACCTTCTTATCTTGTACATGTATTAATGTTGTGTTTATTAGTTGATAGTATAACATTTCTAAATTTTTGCATCATTATTTTTCTTTGCAGGGAGACAATTTGATAAAAACGGCAATCTTCAGCAATGGTGGGACAATGAAGTTATCACAAGATTTAAACACCAAGCACAGTGTATTATTGATCAGTACAGTAATTTTACACTGAAAGACGTTGACATGAATGTAAGCTTAAAAAAATAAATAAAATCGGAAACTAATTGTGTAAACACATATCATAAAATAAAACCCTCATGAGATATCTGTAATAGGACAATTATTTCCTTTTCATCAAAGCTCTTAATTTAGATTAAGACAAATATTTGCTGTTCCGGTAATGTAAAACACTTCAAATGTTGACGTAAAAGACGAATAAACGGAATTGCTGTCAAGCATAAACAATGTGTCTATTAGAAACTGTATGGATGTTCGTTAGGTTTTTCATACTCGTAATTTCCCCTTTCGATTTCTACTATATGCAATTGAGCTGCCACTCAGTTGTACCGCCTACATCTTCGAACAAGAATTTTTTGTAAATGAATTATAAATGTACTATCTCAACTACTTAACATATTTACTGTGCTTATTCAGTAGGCTTTGGGGGTATCACAATAGCAATGGCTCAAACAGTTTACCAAATTGCAGTTGAATTCTCCTCCCACAAACTGATCAACTGGTAAAATATTTGAACTATTTGCTTCAGTGAAAAGTTGTTAGTTTGAAGTGAGTGCAGTGAAATAAAAAGTAAGGTGTTGTCTATGTCTAGAAAGTCAACCAAAATAATGACTAACTATAATATGAGTCACTGGTTTAAAAAGGTCTAACTTTGACATAAAAGCTTCTATCCAATCTAAATTTTATAAATAATTAGTTCAAAACATTGTTTTGTAGGTCAATACTTTATAGCTTTGTTTTCTAACAGCAAGTTAGTGCGTTATTGTAATCGTTTAAATTGCTTAAACATGAACTGTTATGCATTTGTAACTTATAACATAACAAACGTGAAAATTGTATGCTTTGCAGTAATTATCAATGCCGTTATTTTTTATTAAGCTGAATGGTTTACAGACGCAAGGAGAAAACATTGCTGATAATGGTGGACTAAAGCAAGCTTATAGAGTAATACACTATTTTTTAAATTTTGCAACGAAAGTTTTTAAAAGATATTTTTTATCTTTCAAAATGTGCAATTCAAATCTATATTGAGGTGCACTATTGTAGTTTACAAAAAGAATAGGTCAAAAGAGAAAAGCATTTTAAGATTTGAATTTGTTTGAAGTATTTCTACTTATTGAACAGCAATGCATTATTTATTTTTGGTGACATCCTATTTTGTTTAGAATGCATAATAAAATTAAATACGATTTAAATAGTGCGCGTGTGTTCGTTTTCCTGGAAAAACTGAGATTTGAATAACAATGTTTGATTATATGTCTAAAGGAGTCAAATAGATATCTCATCAATACATTACACTCATGCATCTGTGTACTAAAATATTTACAGGAATGTGCTCCTGACACAAAACTGCTCCAACAGAGTTATCAAGAAGAAGAAATGAAATAGACGCTATATACGTTTCATAGTCACTATCAAAGATTTGTTGTCCGTTACGATGTGACTAAGTCTCAACTTACAAGCGACGTGTTCACGTGAACATAGATTTTATAATACAGAATAGTCGAAATATCTGTAAATGTACAGATTTTGTCCTATTCCTGATTGTGTCATTTCCACAGAGAGTGTATTCTCATAGGGGTGATGCTTGCTTGGATAGCAGACGAGGCTTATACCGTCGACGAACCCGGTATCGCTCATTATGCGATTCTGTTGTTTTTTCTTACCTTGAGTGTATCCTCATAATGGATTAATGAGATATAGGTTGCACTTTGTAAATACAACTGTTTCGCAAACCACGCCTCCTTTGGGGAGATATATAATATTCATAGATATTTTGTTTTGTTTACCTACTGGTTCCCAGATATGATCTCTATGTTTCATATCGTAGAGACATAACTTGGGAATGTTACCAGTATAAATAGACATGATTAGCGGTGGAATTGAATTCTGAGGAAGACCCAAAGTGAAGGGAGGGGTAGTAAAGGATTTTAGTATAAGCTGTAACTCTTAAGAAATTCGGGCACATAAATGATGAAAATATGCCACACAGCCCTATAATTTGACCTTGGAAAAAATAGCAGAGCATATGAACTTTCCATTCTTGAATAAATTTTTACGAAACTTCATAGTAAAAGTGGTTCAGTTTTAGCCATTGTCTATATTAACAGAAGTGCAACCTATATGCTATTGTTGTGTCTATTAATTCCAGTGTATTCGTTTGAGATTGGGTATACAATGTGTCTATCGATTCGATGGATGTATTTTGAATCACCATATGACGTTACTCATCATCATGTCGACATTATGATCATGGTAATTTGTTTAATTTTGATAAATATTTTAATGATATTCCAGGCATATACAAACTGGTTAAAGACACAGTCAGAAGATGACCATCAACCTCGCCTTCCTGGGTTATCGGAATTAAGTGATCATCACTTGTTTTTCTTAAATTTTGCACAGGTTAGAAAAATATATGTTTCATTCTCCAAAAATCAAGCTAGTATCATCATCTATATTTAAAGATTGCACATATTAAAGATTCAGTCCATTGATTATAGTTCTAATTGAAGAAATACCGAACTCCAAGGAAAACTCAAAATGGAACGTCTCTAATCAAATGACAAAATCAAAAGCTTAAACACATCAAACGAAAGGAAAATAACTGTCATATTCCTAACTTGGAAGTAGAAGGAATCAGCACTCATTTCTGACATTAGAATATTGATATTGTTTATTTGAAATCTGTTGTTTTAAATATATGGAAATCATTTATAAATAGAGAATGAATTTCCATTCTGAATAATACATATTTCCGTATTGGCTTAACTTATGATCCTTTTCGGTTATATCAATAATTTAACGTTTGTTTATTGTTTTCGATTAAGAATAATCACTTAATGCACATTAAATGTCGAAATTGGAAGTGAAATTGTTACCGTTGAATGTTATTCAGATGAAAATCGTACTACTTAAATTATATCAGGACTGCAAATGAATTCGATTATCTGGAAAGGTTTAGTTTCGTAGAAGTTGACAAAGCAACCAGCAATACTCTTGTAAATTGGCATAATAACTTAAAGGAAATACTTAAAACTAAAATCAGAGATCCAAGAAGGTTTTATACTTATTTCTTTTGAAAACGTTTGAATATGAACGTGTTACAACATCGTCTTAACTGTCTTAACTTAACTACCCAAACCAAATACCCATTACATTGTAATAGAAATTGTTTTAAAAAATAAACAGTGAGTAATAAGATTATCCATTAAAGCGCTTAACCTGCCGAATCTATAAAGTGTAATTTTTATTTTCTAATTCCGAGACGAAACCGCCGCAGTTGAACTGTTAGTCCTTAATAGTATCATAAACTCACTAGTCAGTGCTTCGGTTTTGTATGACTTGATTTAAAACACACTTTTTGCTATTAAATTTACGTCCCTGTTGGTCATTTAGCCCCTAAAAGATTAAGTATTTGTATTTATGCATCCTAATAGCTTTCAAACTTTTAAGTTTGAGCGTTCCAAATATTTTTTTTTAAAGCGCTTACTTAATCATCTAGATATACAAATGAAATTTATCCATTCAACTAATCCTAAATTTATAAACGTTAATAGTTGCAATGCTCTTTTTATTAAAATAGCAGGTGTTGATCTCAAGATACTAACATTCAAAATGAACGGGAAGAATTTTTCTTCCAGTTGTTAATTTTTATTTTCTTGAAAGAAAGGTTCCCTTTGCTTCTTATCATGCTTATAGAGTCTATGTTTGGTTCGATCGTTTACGACTCTATTGAACGTATCATTGTCAGTAATAAAAAAATACTTTTCAGCAGGGATATATATATATGTATAGTTAAATGGTATAAAATGTTTGATTTGGTCTCTTTAGATTACTTAGTTTTAATTAACTCTATATAATGATTAGGAATATTTCTTTTCAAAAAGGACCTTATTTTTTTCAACTTGATTTTAATAGGTATGGTGTGGGACAATGAGACCTGAAGCATCAGTGAACCGGATTAGAACTGGATTACACAGTCCGGGCAGATTCAGGTTTGTTGCCGTGAAAGAGTAAACTTTATCATGCTGGTTACTAAATTAACTGTTTATTAATTTCACGATTCCTTTCATGTACAAACTTTACAACGTTTATCACAATCCCAGAAGTCAACACTTCTGTGTCTATGTACTGTATCATTGATACGGTCATAATTATAAATCAACTCTTTTCTAAACTTTTAATTTTTCGAATTGCTAAGAATTTTCTATCCCAGGAATATATTACCTGAGCTGTATTTGGCAAACCTTTTGGAACTTTTGGTCCTCAATGCTGGTCAACTTTTGCCTTTTTAACTTTTGTGATTCGAGCGTCACAGATATAGACGAAACGCACGTCTGGCATATAAAATTTTACTCCTGGTATCTATGATGATTTGATTATAGTTCGAAAGATATCTGAATAATATATGTGCAGAAAATCTCACAAAGTTTTATGTAGTAGAGAATTGATAAGAAGTAGTGGATTCGTAAACGATAATCAACGAGCGACTTTAGTCGCAAGTTGATTATCGTTTACGAATCCACTACTTCTTATCAATTCTCTAGCTTAACCTATTTCTAGTAAACGGACTGTCTGTTTTACGCTTTGACAATGAATCAACGATATTTCATAAAAATAGTTTCGTATTTTGTCTTTTTTATTCTATAATAGCTGGAAATGATTATATCCACACGGTTCGCATCTATATTTAGACATTTGACAAGTTAACATAAGTTTAAGATAACTTAAATGGGGTGTTAGCTCCCCTTTTTAACACCAGATTCTATTTTTTGTATATACATATATCATTTAATGTTTAATCATTACAAATTATTCAAATTGAATAGATTTTGGTTTATTTAATTTATTCAAAAGGTGATATATTAATATACTGAATTTATTTATCTTGTTTTGAAAAGTTAAAAAAATTTAAATACCAAAATTTAGAACCTTCAAAATTTATATATATAATATTTAGCAATATGATTTGGTATATTACCGACCGTGCAAGGGCTGTATAGCCAGTCAAGGTCGTTAAAAACTTCCATATATATTGGTATATTGAAGACTAAACACCGTTAAGCCGTTCTTAATCAAATAAATATTATTAGCGTAGATGCCATAAATCTGCCATTTCATAATGCTCAAATTCATGTTGCTTTCCTAAAGTATCAAAATTATGTGCTTACGAATTAAATTAAACGAGTTGCGGAGGGTATACTGTTTTTGACCCGTCCGTCCGTCTGTCCGTCCGTCCGTCTGTCCGTCCGTCAGTCCGTCAGTCCTGTTTCTTTTCATCGCAACTCCTCTCAAACCACACAACAGAATTTCACGAAATCTTTTTAGATAATAAGGACATACTATGTAGTTGTGCATTTCGACAGGAAATTACGATTCAATTCTTTTTCTAGGAGTTACGCCCCTTTGAACTTATTTACTTTAATGTACTACTGCAACAGTTTGTCATCGCAACTCCTCTCAAACCACACAACAAAATTTCATGAAACCTTTTCAGATAATAAGGACATACTACGTAGATATGCATATCGACAGGAAATTACGATTCAATTTTTTTCCAGGAGTTACGCCCCTTTGAACTTATTTGTCCAATATACTACTGCAACCTTTTGTCATCTCAACTCCTCTCAAACCACACAACAGAATTTCATGAAACCTTTTCAGATAATAAGGACATACTACGTAGATGTGCATATCGACAGGAAATTACGATTCAATTTTTTTTCCCAGGAGTTACGCCCCTTTGAACTTATTTGCCCAATATACTACTGCAACCTTTTGTCATCGCAACTCCTCTCAAACCACACAACAGAATTTCATGAAACCTTTTCACATAATAAGGACATACTACGTAGATGTGCATATCGACAGGAAATTACGATTAAATTTTTTTTCAAGGAGTTGCGCCCCTTTGAACCTATTTGCCCAATATACTACTGCAACCTTTAGTCATCGCAACTCCTCTCAAACCACACAACAGAATTTCATGAAACTGTGTAGATAATAAGGACATACTATGTAGATGTGCATATTGACAGGAAATTATGATTCAATTTTTTTTTCTGATACAATATTTTTTTCTTACACTTATTTTATTCCTCCAATGACAATGTGGGGACGTGGGGTATGTGAGCGCGCTCACTAAGGTTCTTACATATTTAAATTTTGTTTAAACTGTTTCCGTTTCATCAAGTTAAGATTATTTTAACGTTATCACATTTGGCATAAATCGTTCACCGGTCAATAAACTAGTTTTATCTGTGGTACGCATTCTGAATCCCCATCATAATTGCTCTTGCTACGGATGTACAATGAATAATTATGTTGATTTCATAAACTTACCATCAAGCTGTTCATACCCGTGATCGTCGAGTCGTTGGTAACAAATGTTATAACGGTGATATTTACAGTGCAAAGTTCGAACCTTATACCCGGAATGAAATTTTTTCATTGTAACTTTTTTCTGGACAAAAATATTGTTTTAATCCTAGAACATGTAGAAGTATTATATATTTCATTTTCATATAATGGCGATGATTTTGTTTCTGTTTTTACTGTCAAAGAAGTAGTTTTAACCCCTTTCTTTAAAAAAAAATAACACCCAAAATAAAACAAATTCAATAAACATGAACAAACCAAGATATATATATGTCATTAGATTACAAAGGCGAATTATCAATGAGACAGAAATACAGTTAAATGACATGTATTGACAATTAAGAGCTTTAAGAGTACTATTCATTTACTGATTGATGTCAGCCATCGTGGTCTAGTGGTATCATGCATAGACTGAAGACTCTATTGATTATGAAGAAAATACGCGCGGGTTCGATTCCTACACATACCACTCGTTTTTGAGAGGATAAAAGATCGTAAGTTAAAAGTTTAGAGTTATAATATAAGTTCTCTTAAGTTAATACTATGGTCAGTGGATTCTTGAAAAGTAATCTACAGTAAGAACAATAGCCTGACGTCAGAGAAATGGGTTAATGTTTTGTTAATTGAAAAAATCATCTATTTTTTAATAAATACAGCTTAAAACATCCTTAGAAATAGATGAAAGGCTTCTTTAATATGTCAGAAAACTCACAAGGATGCTTAATAACACCTAATATATATATATATATATAAATAACGTGTGGAACTTGCAAGTTGCAATATGTTGGTGAAACAGAAATACCATTCAACATCCGACTGAATAACCATACAAAAGAAAGAAACTGCCCAATCCAAGACATCTTTTAAGAGAAGGGCATGATTTTGAAAACGTCACATTTCAAATCACTGAGAAAAACCAATATTGGGACACGCAAGGAAGACAAGAGAGAGAGAGATTTTGGATGCACCAGGTACGGACTCTTGAACCTGATTTAGTCAATTAGAGAGACGAGAAAAGATTGAAAAACAAATCAAAATAATAATCTTGAAATCATACAATTCATAGAATATCAATAATTATGCTAAACTTTTTTTCCAACTTTGTGTAGTTTAAGCTACAAAAACATTTTTTAGTCATGCATCCGATTTCACCTTGATAGATGCACACGCCTGATGTAGCTAGTTTGTCTAGCGAAATATTGCGTATATCTATTTAAAATCTAATAGAACTTTTTAATGTATCAATTAGCGTGTTTAAGTTATATTCTTAGACATTTATATAATTTTTATTCAGTAACTGTATCAGTTTATTTTCACAAGCTGATGGACGCCTACATAGATTGGATGTTGATTGTTGCTATTTTTAGAAATTATATATATATAGATATATATGCAGTTTCATTTGACTCTTCCATTTCTCTGAGTCCAACAGATACAGTAACAATTTTACTTGTTTGATTAATTTATCCATGTCACGACGAGTTTAAGTTTTAATTGTCTATAAAGTAATCATAGATGCCAAGATTAAAATTTTGTACGCCAGCCGCGCGTTTGATCTACAAAAGACTCTTTGAAGTTCGAATCAAAAAGTTAAAAGGCCAAATATAGTACGAGTGTGTCCTATTCTTGATTGTGACATTTTGACTTAGTTTGGGTTCACATGGCGGGTGATGCATGTTAAGCAAGATACGGCTTTTATGTCGACACACCTGTCATCGGTCCATTTGGAGTTGATGTCATTCCCTCTTTGTTTTTGGTTGCTGTCTTTATTTGTCTCTTCGGTACAGATTTTAGAAATGTACACATCAGTGAACTAATGTCTCTCTAATTAACACAATTAGTACAATGGTAATCTGATATACAGATATTATATGAAATATTGCAATTCATGGTATTCTAAGGGATTAAAAATGTAAAATATTTCGATTGTTTGTTTCAGGGTCATTGGAACACTACAGAACTCAAAGGAATTTTCAGAGATTTTCAGCTGTCCCAATAATTCATATATGAATCCAGCAAAGAAATGTCATATTTGGTAATTGGGAAAATAAAGAAGCATGCATAATTAAGAAGCTCTGTGTTTCAAATTTTGAATATGTGATGAACCAATATAAGCGATGAGAAAAATGAGATTAAGAAGAGTTCATATTGGAATTTGCAGTTTGAGCAGTAAAGGAAATGACACAAGGGTCATGTGATATTCATACAGAGGAGTTATTTGTGCCTAAGTGGACACTTTGTGTAAATATTCAGATAATACAAGATTTTATATGTTGTTACATTTTATCATTTTTATATTTGTTCTTATACCAGATTGACATACTAATATGCCATTTGGTGGATCGTAATTACATGTGATTCACTGAATAATACATGTCATACATTATTTTAAAGATTACTTTTCCAATTAGAAGTGTACATCAAAACTTAAAATATAGATAATGGGCAATGTAAGATGTTATACTTACAAGATGTCAATACTATGTTGTATTGCTTAATTAAATGTCTTATTTCAATATAATTTTAAATATAAATTATTGTACTGTCATACTGATAGCACACAAGTTTTGCATAACTTTTGTTTTTTATGTCTGTATTGCATAAATTGCTGTTCTATGACCAATTTCAGTCATATCATTATTTACCTTTTCACTTCGCTGTACATTTATCTGATGGTTCAGAAATTGTTTCTGTTATCATATTTCATCAATACCGGTAGATATATCTCAGGTTTTTCAATGAGTGTTATACACTTTATTATATACTGTAGACACGAGAATGGCAAAATTATGATTGTGAAAGTTGTTTTATAAATAACTGCCTAACAAACTTATTTGAGGAAGATTGAATCAATTAACTCTGATTTTGTTTACTTCCTCGTTTAACAAATAAATCTAGTTGCATCGTGTTAACACAGAATTGATAATTAATTGTAAATGACGGAAACTATTTAAATCGTGAGCGCACAAAAAGTATTGTTGTTGATCACCGTTTTGTGAACCAAAGTAATTGTTCTCTCGTATATTAACCCAGATCCTAGAAATAGAATTAAAAGTTTCCATTTATATGTCAAGTGTGCCTTTGACAAATTTAAAGTGAGGAATAAATCTTGTTGGACAGCAGTGAATCAAATATATTTACAATGAATATTTATTTTGTGGCAAAGACCTTCTTTACTCTTTATATGGACTTCAAAAATTATTTGCATATATGCGTATTTGTATAATATAACACATAGTACTTTGACCATTGTGGGTAAGATATAATTTCAATATTTTTCATCATTTTTGTACATTGAGTAAATCATCTCTCGCCCAAACAAAGCGCTGAAACTACATATGACATGTGTATTTTAAATAAACCTCATTGTTAAAAACATGCTCATATTTGAACCCATTTATAGATATCCAAATGAGGACGGGAGCGATGTACCACGCACTAAATATTTACGACTAGAAGTGTTATTTATAGCTAACAAAAAACTGAGAGAAATATTCATAAATATCTATAAATCAAAATGTTTCATGTATACCCATAAAATGCCCCTTTAAATCTGTACTTAAGGATTAATTCGGTCTTTCCACTTTGCCGACTTATAACAAGCAATTTGTGGAAAACAATTGTCATAATCAAAAGCGTATTAATTGTTCGATAGCATATACCAAATAATCAAATATCCTGTCGACATATTGAGAAACAAAAATGCCCGATAAGAATTAAAAGTGGCGGAAGAAACAAAAATCCAAATTCAAACAAAATCAAACCTTTTTCCACTTTTCCGTTATTTGGTACATGATATCGAACAGTTAATACGCTTTTGAACCTGACAAATTTTTATCCGAACACTTTTCTATATAAGAGTTATCTCCCAAAATTATCTTGTGTTTACTTCTCCTTCGCCACTGTAAAAGATTATGACAATTGTTTCCCCCAAATTACTTGTTATATCCTCAGGAAGTCGGGAATAATTTTGACGGAAGCGATTTAGAGACTTCTCATGAGAGTTATTTATGTATTTCATATAAGTGATATGCATTTGTAACTGATAAACTATGATTTGTAGAAATCTAGGGCTTTTGATTTGAGGTCCTTGGTCCACCAAAAAAGTAAAAAAGAGGTCAAGAGAGGTCATATCCCTTTTTTATTTTGTCTTATTATCGATTCTCCTCAAAACACTTTGGGATATCTACAAAATATTTAAAAAAATATTAGTTTCCACATGTCGAAACACATACATTTTGGTTGAGAGGTAAGTTAAAATTTAATTGAGAGTTTCCACACTTTTTAAATTTAAAATTAGCTGTATGGTGATATACATTTTTAGCCATAAATAGTAGAGACCGATTGACTTTTGATTTGAGGTCTTTGCTTTATGGTTTAGAAATTGATGTCAAGTTTAAATTTTAATTTGGCGTTCTCGATATTGACCTATGCTGTAACTTTTTATTGGTAAATACTAAAGCCTTAGGGTATTTTATTTTGGCTGTTTTGAAAACCCGAAGCTCCCATTTTTGTCTTATTTTCTTGAAAAATTACAAAAAACAGTGTGAAGAAAGGTTCAAATGAAACTGGAAATGAAACTTTGTAAACAGAAGAACCTACTTATCTCCCTTATTTGTAGCAAAAACATACAGAAACCAGATATTATTGCAATAAGCGAAAATTCAGCTATTATCTGACACCAAAATTGAAATTTGAGACCGGAAGTGAATATTTGTGCATTTAAGGTGGAAAGACCTTCAGTTGTTTTCTGAACAATTGGTTAGAGAACAATTGTTTTTTTTAATGGTTTCTTATTTCTTTTGTATACTGAAGTGCATTTTCATTATTGTGTATTGAATATCTTTTTCTAGATGCCCTTCCATAAATTGACACCAATAAAAAATTTCAACTATTTGTTGTTCTGTTTGAAAAAAAATTAAAACAACACGTTAAAAATTTCGTGCGTCCGAAGCGCTTTTCTGGATTTACCTTCATCAGGAACGGTCAAGGCCGATTAGTTGAAAGCCAAGGATGTATAAAAATCTAAACAATTGAAGAGCTATATTATCAAAAAGAGCATAAAAAAAAATAGCCAAATCCATCTAAGGTCAACTTTGCCGGAGGTAGTTGAAACCTTAGTTTCTAATAATTTCAAAATTTATTAACGTACAATTTTAAATACGTTTGTTGTAAACCATGCCAGTACTGATTACTGAGCTGATGATAACCACCAGCAGAGGTATCGACCCAGTGCTGTAAAAAATGAAAACAACACGTTTTAAATTTCATGCGTCCGAAGCGCTTTTCTGGATTTGAAAGTTATCAAAGCCGTAAGTGTCCAGATTGATGCAAATTTCTTTTTTATATACTGGCATTGAATGAACTTGGTATAATTCTCGACTCACAGACCAGTTTTTAATTTTCAAAGAAATGAAACTTGCGATCTCCTTGCATTGCATGTACGAGGAAAAGACTATGACAACAAGAAGGCGTCGTCGTCATGAGGAACAAAAAGGTATATGTATTTGTATACCAAAAAGTGGAACCAACTTTTCAACGAAAATTGTACGTTCTGAGAAGACATTTTAAAGATTTGTTTAAGTTTGCCGTGTTTATTAAAACAGACTGACCTTGAAATTCGAATACAGTTTATTATTTTTATTAATATATGTTAACACCAGACCTATGATATGAATTAAAAAATTACATTTGAAAAAGAGGAACAGAGGAGACATATATTTCTGAGTTTTATTTCACAAAGAACATTATTTACATATTCTGGACTTTTCAAATTATCTTTGTTTGTTACATTTTCTAATGAACAAATTTTAAAACTTGAACTTAAATAAATCCATTCTATATTCATTTGAATATTGATGAATTAAATTTTAATTTTGTTATGTCTCACGAAGCATTACAGATGTTCTAATGCACATTTGTGATTAGTTTGTAACTGTCGGCATTTTGAATACAACATCTGGCTTAGTTCAAGTTATCAAATTAACTAGACTGGAAGGTTCGCATGGAACTTCTTTTGGAAAACTAAAAAACAAAGTCTGCTAGGAAGATATTGCTATTTTAAACATGTTGTCCTTTAGGGATTGTACGGATTGATATTGGTGTATCAACAATGATATCGCTCGACTAAAATGTCGAGAGAAACGTCCAACAATGAATGTGTTATATTCAAAGAATTCATATTTTAGAACACATTTTTGATTCGAATGCGAAGTAACTTTTACAAATGTGTTGTAGCATTAACATATTTATTTTCCGTTTTGTCAATATATTTTCATGATTTTTGGAAAGAGAGAATAATAATGTGTAATTAGGTAGAATATCATGTCCGTTAAAAAAAGGAGTGGCTGAAATCTTTCAAATAAAGCGGAAATATGCATCTTTCCAAAACGTCATCCAAGCATAAAAAACAGTGATCGTGCAGAATCAAATAAATGTTTGAAAATAAGAATAAAGGGAAATATTGGGACGTAAATGAATATTACACTTAATGAATGTGTTTCATAGAGGGACTTCAATGGATTAGCGTTCATCACTGAATGCTCAAAACCCGAAACGTAAAAGCTGAGAGGGAACAAATGTCTGTACTCATAGATCCAATTTTCATAATTATGGCAGTCATTTTGAAAATTCAAAAGTCAAATAGCAACTCTACACAACCATTGAACATTTGTGTAAAGTTTCATTAAGTTCGGAGCATTTTGAAATTTTTGGATTTTTTAGCTGTTTTCATGGACCATTTCCAAATTTCCGAAGACAAGATATCACAATGGCACATGACAATTAACATGCCATAAAAGTTTCACTAATCTACCATGTTAAGTGAAAAATGCTGCTTTCAGGTTTTTCTCAGAGGTTTTGATGGTGAACTTTTCCCTCGTTTCCATGGCAATGACGGCCATGCTGGAAAATTTAGATAGTCTGTACATCTATGTATAACAGGCAACATTTCCAAAAATTTTTATTCGGTTGGTTCTAAAAAAAAAGACATGGAATTTAATTTTTTTTAACATTTGTTTGCAGTTTCAATGGTAACTGCGTCCATTTAAAAAATCCAAAAGTCTTACTGCACATCAACATATGGGGATCCTTTTTTTGCTGATGTAAGATCAATAACGGTCCAGTAGTCTCCTAGGAAAGACTTGGACAAAATGAGGTGTAATAAAATTTTATAATAAGAATAGAGAAAAGATACTGAGAAAAAGCAAGAAGTCACCCGGCATTCATTCGGGGTGACTAACAAGGTAAATGGAAAAAGGAAGTCCATATAACCTGACAAAACCAATCGCTCGACTATATCGATCAACGGAACGATAGGAAAACAACTGTCATATTCCTAGTACGGGCATTTTCCGAAGAAAATGGTGAATCGAACCTGATTCTATAGATTATCAGTTGAATAGTAATTGGTATTTGTAATTTCAAAATCAAAGAAGAATTTCAATTACTAGCGAACAAATAAGTTACTGACATGAATTAAAAAAAAGTTTATGATTCCTTTTTGGACATTTGAGATACCAACATTGGTGCAGTCTTCCGTATGCACGGAATAAAGCAAATTGTAACGATTTTCATTCATTTCCCAATCATATTGTCAATGTGGACAACATGTGTGGCAATTGCATTCGTTGATGTTTCCAGATTCATGGTTGATTTCACAGCATTGATTTGTTTTATAGTTGCGGCTAGAATCGAAGTAGTCGTTGGAAAAGTAGTTGAAGTTGGAATAACCGTTGTAGTTGTAATAGTAGTTGTTGTTGGAATAGCAGCTGTAGTTGGAATAGTGGTTGTGGTTGGAATAGCAGTTGTAGGAATACCAGTTGTGGTTTGAATCACAGTCGTTGGAAACTGTCTGGAAATAAAAAGATCATGTACAGTGTTCATTTAGGTTCAATCTTCGATAAAACACAATATTATAATGGAGGAAAAGGGGAGAACCAAGATCTATAAAGGTCAATTATACATATAAGTCTAAATATGTGTGCAACGATACTGATAAAAGATTAAAAAATGTATACAAACAATTTGAAATGATATCGAAATAAACTTATATGTCGACCTAACAAATGGCCTTCACTAATAGACCGAATTTGATCTGAAACGGTCATGTTGATCTGAACAGTGTTTAAAAGATTGAACAATGAATCATTACGTTATTTTCAGTTTTTCAGTCTATTTTTAGACTTATCAATTGAGGTAAATGTAAAACTGTTCAAATATTTCTCTTGTAGTCTGTGGCTGCTATTTACCTGTAGCCATACAAAACATCACACTGAATTGTCTGAAATGGTACTGAAAAGTACTGACTTGAATGTTAGAGAACTGTCTAAACAGTACTGACTTTACCGCAGTGGATAAGACTGAACATTGACTGAACAGCTGAACATGACTGAATAATTTTTTGTTCATACCTGTAAGTTCCTAATTAGATTAAAATTACCGTTTCAGACTAAAATTCATATATTAGTGCTTTGTCTGTGTCATTTTTTCCTTCAAAAATGCATTAAAACAATTTTATTATGTGTTTGTTAAAAGACCTCCTTTAGACAGGTTAGTTTTTTAATTCTGCACTTCATCGTCCAAATATATCTCCATTTATGTAGACACCAATGTGTATGTTAATATCCCAATATATACTCTCTTTGTTCAATAACTGAAAAGTTGTCAGCTGATAAAGTTGAGCTAGGAAATGGAAGACCGATTTCGTTCACTGATTCAACTTGGGAACAATTATTCCTGTACAAATTACAGATAAACGTGCTATGTATGTATGTTTTTTAATCTATATGAACACAGACAGAACTATAGAAAATAATCATTGTGCACTATCAATTTATATTCACATGCACATCTGACATCTCCTGGTGTCTTTATATAGATGATCTGTAATTGATGTTGATAATCTATGCCATACATTGGATGTTGTTTATCATACATCAAATTTTACAGTCGATTCTTTTAACAAGAATTTGGTTGCATTTTTTGTTTTCAATGAAAGCTTTTTTTGATATTGCAAAGCATATTTTAAACAGCTTGAGATCGAATGCTATGAGAAAATAATTAAACTTGAAGGAACAATAATGTAATTTTCTTATTGGTGGGCCAATTTAAGACGGATATTTAAAATATTGCCTTCTAATTGCTTGTGATAGTGATATAACAGTTAGCGCATAAAGTGCAGTTTTCTACAAGATAAAGTTGAGACATCCCTCAAAGATATCCAAATATTATAAAAGAAATTGAAAGAACAGCTTCAAAGACCAACTTCTGAATACATTACACCTCACGAAAAAAACTGTGTCCAAAACAACTTTTGAGTAATACATGTTCAAATGAGTACTATAGTACTAGTAGACGATACTTTAATAGAATACGAGATACTAGGCACTAGGAGACAGGAAGGTTTACCGCCTTTGCACTTAAATTAAGAATTTATTTGAAACATTTTTTTTTTAATTTTCCGATAAAGCAGTTAACAAAAGAGGTAAGCAAAGCAAATTCTTTAACATTATTTGCTGCTCTTCTCTGAGATCTGAATATTTTTCATAGTAATCCATATTTCAATTTCTTAGCTTTACATTAAAAAGAAAAATACCAAACTCCAAGGAAAGCTAAAAACGGAAAGTCTTTTATCAAATGGCAAAATCAAAAGCTCAAACACATCGAACGAATGGAAAACAACTGTCATATTCCTTTATATAGAACAAATTGTGGATTAAACCTGGTTTTCTAGCTAGCTTAACCTCTCACTAGTATGACGGTCGCATAAATTTGTTTTAACATGACGATTCAATTTTTGTTATTTATTATTACCTGTACGTATATTTTCTTATTGTTCAAATATTTGAACATACTGAAAGTTCCAAAATAGTCTCTATTATATAACACAAATAA